ATCTTGAGAGGGCTGAAAAAGAAGGTAAGGAGAAAGGAGGAGGAGAAAAACAAACAATGTTCATGCCTAATGTAATCGAGTCATTTGTGGTGAAATAGTGAAGGTATGATTACTGAGTCTAATTCTCTTTTATTAAGGTACGTTTTAAGCAAGAGCATTCTAGCAGGTTAAGGAAAACAAACGTAAATATTGTATGAATGGACAAAGAACAGTATAAATGAACGTGGTCCAAAAAGAAGCTGAATGCATTTGATTATATGAAGTTTCAAAATATAGTACTGAAAACAGTGTTCTGATGCACGAATAAATATCTTTCTTTCTTGTCGAGGCCATTTCAGCTCATTTTTATTGATTTTATAGGGTAAATGAGCAAATCATAGTCATGAAAGGTCAAAGAGGGTTAATATGGCGGTGGGTGTTTCCTGTTGTCATTGATGGGTTCGTAAATCTACCACTTCCATGCTATAACATATATCTAAAAGGAAATAGCTGTGAAAGTATGAGAATTGGCTTGACAATGATATAATCTAAATTCTTCCAGGGTGGAAGGGTATTATCTATCAAGACTGAACTAGTAGGACTTGTGGAGCTTTGGACAGGAAAGTGGATCTTAAAAACCGACATTAGTAACCTCTGTTTTCTTGAAGTAATAGATTGTAGAAGATTACATGTACCCATAGCAACACTGATGTAAGCTTTAGATATCATGAAGTATGGCATAAGACGTACAATTATTACCGTTGATGCCCAGTTGTCTTCCAGAATGTTAGTTTTTAAGTGTTGTTTGCTTGCTTATCATTGCCTATTTTGTGAATCGCAGATGATAATTTGTTTTGTAAAAGGAACCAATATTGTTAAGGTACAGGAAGTTATAGGGAAATTCTGAATAACCTCAATCATATAAAACTATTATTCCGAGTTAACATTTCTTGGCAGAGTTTTGATTTCTTTATATTTCTGACCATGAACGTTTGATCAGTTTCTTGTTATTGTTTTAAACCAACGAATAGACAGAGGATTACAAATTGAACAATTGATGATCATATTTCAGAAAGGGCTACTGAAGTACGTAGGTCATTTGCATTAGAGGGATTTGTTTGATGAGTTTGGTACAAACTTCCGTGTTTATAAATGAATTATTCACCATCACCACTGTCAGGATGAAACTTCCACTTAACAATAAATGTGGTGATAAATAAATCCCCGGAGCAAATAGTTCTGTGTCTTCGACATTGACGCATCCGCATCAGATCATGAGTTGGATTAGGTTTATTATTATGTTAGCAAAGATAAATGTATTAACACCGAGTTAGATCATAAACAAACAGGAACACCGTGATATGCATTCTTTGCAACTACTAGCCAGCTTAGACCAAACACTTCTCGACATGTCCATAACTCTCAAAGTATATCTTCCAAGCCGTTCATTTATGATTTCAGATTTGACTGACGTGGGTAAATTCCAATTCTAAAATGTAAAGACTTTGTCAAACTCCGAATACCCGTAGCGTCCTTAGTGGTGGGTCCTAGGCGATCTGGCATACTAAACAATAGACTGAGCGTCCGTTCCTTGTTGCAACTTTAAATATCATTTTCCCATGTTTGTTTCTACGTATTCTGGTGTTATTTTCATATTTTCAGGTGTGTTTTTTCCCCCATATATCTTTTACCTTCACCAAGACGGAACAGACACTAATGCTGGTTAAGATTGAGACTATTTCTCCTCCTACCTTTTTACTCATGTCTTTCTGACCCGATAGTATCGGAGTCTGACCCTGCTTTTGAGCTGACTATCATGAGCACAACGCGCGAGACATTCGTGCATGATTCCTTGCATCAGTGGAAGCACCACCACGTAATTTTAACATGTACGTCACACCTATTATGTTTACTAGTGTTATTTCGGAACCCTATTCCTAAATATGTAATCCTTGCAGTGTTATTGGTTCCAACAACATGATCTTCAAAGTTGAACATTTGATGATTCAGAAAATCTAGCATTCTATACATGATAGGGTTGTAATGATGAGCGCGGAAACAGTCATTGGAGATGACATGTCTCTCTCATGTAATCGCGATCATCCTCTATAACTTATTGTTTTTTTTATTGAATGTATGACTCCCCATCCAGCCCAGTCTTCTTTTAAGTGTTCAACATCATGTTGCCGATTCTCATGATTGGACGAGTCAGTGTGAATAAATATGTGACTTCACGCAAGGTCTTATTCACTAGGTATTCACATCAAGACAAGCCTATGGTTTTGGAATTAAGCTTATTATTATAGTAACAAAGATAAAAGTACTAATGCCGGATTAGACCATAATTCTAGGACCTAGCAGACTGACAAAGGTTAAACTAGAACTTTCATAACATCGAGTCACAACATGGCTCATAAACAGAATTGTAACATCGAGCTTTACTCTGTCAAAAAAGGCTCCAAACGACACAAAATGACGTTACAAACTTTTATCATGCCTTCACTCATCATCTTAACATTTATCACGATCCCAGACGCTCATTAACTTCTCAATGAGGTTCATCTCTTGAAAGATCTGTCACAAGACCACGAGAGGTAGATAATCCCGACTGATGTTGGTACCACAATAAGTACAGCAAAATTCTCTAGAAATTTCAGGGAACGCTGGAGTTTCTCAACTTTCAAACTGTTTGACATGAAAAACCTTTTTGGAAACCTCCTCCTCAGAATGTGTTATCTGCGATCGTGAAATTTTAGCGCGATCCGGAAGCAAGAGTCTAGACCAGAAATATTCCTTAACTGTTGAGGATGTCTTATTAGCTTTGTCTGCCAAATTGATGAGTTTCGCATTTCAACCAGGTTTGTTTGTTAAACGTCTCATGAGAGACGCGAATTCGGTATGAAGCGTCGACAAAAACTTACCATGACCTAGCTCGTACGTAATTGGTTGACTGTGATCGGTTCTTAGTAATCTAGAATAGACGCCACTATGTTTTTCAAAAGACAAGTACGTCTAACACCATTAGAGTACTCGAAGAAATCCATCGACCTGGCTATGTATGTATGTATGCAGTGGTATCATGTTTTAGGAGATTTAAGAAGACAAGGTTCATATGCTTTAGATGATATTCTCTGTACAGACGTATGAAAAGCAGTCATTCACATACGTGTGCATGTAGTTGAGATCTCTAAATACATCACCGATGGAACTCTGACACCAACCGTTGCTGTATTTAAGGGACCATGTGCAAGTGCGATGTACATGAACTGTTCTATAGTCATATATTTTCGGGTCTAAGTGTTGATTATCCACTAAAAGCGTGGATTAATTATGTGTTTAGCAATGAATAGGCATAACCTAAAACCAGAAAATGGAATTGAATAAACAGATCATTTAATGTTTCCCTCATGAATGGGTTTGCGTAAGTCCACGTTAAGATAAACATATCTGCTACTGGTAATAGGTTTTCTATTTGCCGCTTGTAAGTTTAAAACAGAATCTTGCAAACACCCGTTAATATTCGCAGGAAGGACGCTTGATCATGCATGAGTGTCTAAAGCATAGAATACTGCCGTCACATCATTTATATGTAAGTAATATAGTGGACATCATTTTGTGATTGATTACTTTGAGTGCTTATTCACATTCAATTTCATTATAAATAACTGACTACAGTCTTCAGTTATAAGAAAAGTGGGTGTCCACAGCTTCATAAATCCTAGCGGTTTTTCTCCCGAAGAGGGAAGTGCTTGCTAATTGGACTAGTAATTTTTCGGGTCGTGCGCTCAAGTCACCGACCAGATGATGAGAACAATGGAATCACACTCTGGATTTATTCGATCTCAGATTTTTAGCCCTGTTATAAACAGACCAGAGAGGTAAGACATGTTAGCACCCAAATCGTTGTCCAAGATGAGGAATGCCGAAATTAGGTCAACTCGTGTATTTTCTTAGTAAAGAGGAAAAGGTTTGGACGTCTTAGGCGCACATAGTGGGAGATTTGGGGAAACCCATTGCTAACTTGGTTTCCACATGTTCGCGTGTAGTAGCCTCCTTGTTAGTAAATATGCTTTTTATTTGGATGCAATGCTTTAAGTAAAGTCTAACACAGGTGAGCCATGAAACCCGAAACGTCTCCACCAATTCATTTGAATCTTTGCTGAAGTGACCGAAACACTCGAAAATATTTAGCAGCTGCCGGATTATATCGTGCAGTTGTTCTCAAGTGATGACGTACTACTACCAGTAAGTCTTTGTGTTTGTCCAGTAATTATAAGGAAACGTTTTCTGTGATTATTCTGAAACACCAATGGCCACCTCCTGACTAAATCAGCTTCGATTAAGGAGTAACTGTTAAAGTTAGTTTAGGTACGTTTTATCGCCTAGTGGAAACTAAAAATGTAATTGGGCAAAAGACAGTTCAAAGTTTCGTTACAAATTTAAATGTACATCAATACGTAAACAAATATTATCAAAAATTTGCTCATTCGGTACCTGTTCAGTCAGTAGTCAAATCCAAATTACAACAAATAAGTTGATAAAGAGTATGAGTGGATAAATGTGCCAATCAACCCAATAATGTTATTCTATCACTTCTAGGTAGATTAAGTACACATTGTTCGAAAGATAATATTTATTTAGCTATAAAAAAGTGTTTTCAGTTCTGGAAGAGTGAATCGATTCACAACCGATAATCTAATATTCCAGTCAATTTTAGCTATATGGTCAATAAGGGTAGCGAATCAATATGACAGCCACCATAACCAAATATCACTTCCTGTATTGAAATCGCCCTGTTTTAGGAAATAAAACATTTCATTTGTTAATGAAGGAAAGTGCAATTCGCTAAAGCTGCCGAATAAAACAGGTTTAAAACATTAGAGTTCCTTGTCCTGGAAAATAACAAGAAAATGCGTGAAACCTTTACAGAGAAACGGTACTTATAGATTAATTCCACAAAGTTAAAGACAGATCAGTCAGTTTACTTCCTTACTCGCAGCATCTTGTTTGAATCCATCGATGTGTACTTTTGTGTGACCTCAACCTTCCGCGCGTTTTTTAGGCCTGGAATGCTTAAGTCGTTTTTTAAGAAGTTTTTATCAGCTGACGAGTCTGAGAAAAAGAGCTTCTCCGCTACGATAGAAAGGAATGTTAACCCAACAGATATATGGGAAATTATTTCGGAGCTGGGAGATGGGGCGTTCGGCAAAGTGTACAAGGTGCGTATGTTATTTTGCTCATACGTGTTTGTAGACTCATAAGCGTAACACTGAATTATTTGCTGCACTTAAACGGGTTGATTTTGAATCTGAGGCTGAACTTGAAGATTTTATGTTGGAAATAGACATCCTTACTAACTTCAAGCATAAGAACATACTTACTTTGCACGAAGTTTACATATATGAAAGCAAATTGTGGGTAGGTTATTCTTCATATACATTACTAGAAAGATTTATCTGGAACTATGTGGTGGCGGAGCTCTGGATTCTATTATGGAGACTCTTGAAAAACCTTTAACTGAGCCTCAAATCAGATTTGTCTCTAGAGAAGTCCTTCAGGGTCTTGAATTCCTTCATGAAAAGCTGATAATTCACCGAGACATGAAAGCTGGAAACATCTTACTCACTCTTAATAACGAAGTTAAACTTGGTTAGTCATAATTCACACGTTTCAGGTTTAACATAAATTTATACTTGTCTATAGTGAACACTGACGTTCGCATCTTAACATTAACGTGTTTTGTTCGGGGAAATCAGGTTGTAATACAAATGTTTCTCACCTAACACCAAGTCTTCTCTACCTCACATGTTTATCGCTATCGGCTTTTGTTAAAACTCGAACGGCAAATATGGTGGAGTAACATTTTTTCTGAAACTAATCAACGAAAAAGTCCTCATTGGCTGTAGGTTCATGTAGTATGATTCAAGTAATTTATGAAAACTAAGTGACATCGGAGAATTAAGAAACGTTGTAAATATTTCTTAAATTTTATCTTCAGGCGAACTTAGTGGTTTTTTTTTCTCACTAATGACAGCTTATTTGCAGCGGTTTGGTGTTTAAGTTTGTAGTAAAAACAATGAATTTCTAGCTGAAAAGTGCATGTTCAAGATTCTCAATGACTGTGTTCATTATCATTTGCACATAAAGCAGGTAAAGGGAGATGTGTTTATTCAGTGGTTTAAATCGTTGTCTTTCTGTGGATACATGGATATAAATATTTTCGAAATAGTGAATTTAAAGACAATTTCAGTAACAACAGGCTTTTTAAAATTGTTTCTCGATTAACAGCTGATTTTGGAGTTTCTGCCAAGTTAACAGATGAAAAGCAAAAGCGATCGACATTCATCGGGACACCTTACTGGATGGCACCAGAAGTTATCAATTGTGAAACTTTTAAAGATGCTCCTTATAACTGGAAAGCAGATATATGGTCTTTTGGTGTGTTCCATTGATTTATTGTCAGTAATTATTCTTTGTAGATTATGTGATTCTGTTGTTGATTTTAATGTACATATTATATAATGTTTAATTTAGATATAGTAGGGTTTATTATCACTTTCGGGTTTATTAACACAAATATTCTACTTTCTCTGTTTTATTCGTGTCACGTGACTGAATTCTATTCTATTGACTAGTACTATTTTGTTGGGTCATAATTTATAACTTCAAATACAACAAACAATGTCTAAACTATTTTGTAATATTGTTGTCCTGGTAATCTATCTCATAAACGTTCACATGGTCAATGATTTATTTAGTGATAACTCACATTTACTGATATCTACATGTTCCATGGATAAAGATTGTGCAATTGCCGAAAGTGTCGCACTCCTGTCGCATTTTTTTCGTGTCATCAGGTTCACTGACACCATTTTGTATAAAGCGGAACTCTTCGTTGAGTTAGAACTCTTGCTACCAAACACCTTGTGTCAAATTACTGAAGCATTTTTCATATATCCTGGGACCACCGAGTAAGTAGTGCAGTTGCTAGGAAACGAGTAAAGATGGCAAATCCATTGATGAAGTAGTGAAACTTCGTGAGTTGGCTGGGATGGATGGGAAATGTGTTACGTATGCCCAACCACTGACTGCCCCAACTTGTGATGTTCTATGGTGTAGGAGTAGGTTGGAAGGAAGCTGGGGTCTGCCAGACGAAAACATCGCAGAAATCCATGAAGTCACCGACAAGTAGACTGAGCCATGCTGGTAGGTGTAGACTATCTGGTTCTGGGGATCTGCGAGATGATAGCAACCGATGATTAGAGACCTTGAATGACATGGCTCAAAATCGTTTGCAATGGCTCAGGTACATCTACTCTTTGTGTTCTCTCAAATTCTAATCTTGTGAATTGTTCATTTCCTTGTTATTTTTCTCTTTCGAAATTGATTTCACTGGATTATACTCCTTGAGTAACATCTTATACTCTTACTACTTCTACTATGGGATTTGAATCGACAATTGTATCTGTGTGCTAATGTGGTATGGCAACTTGAACTGATGTAATTACGTACTAAATTCTATGTTGTTGACTGGCTGACTGTGTCAAAGTACTGAGTTTTATTTTAGCTATAAACACTCAGTGGACTTCATATTAGATTCCTTACAGAGGTGAGTTAATTACCTGTATATTTATGAGTCACAAAGGAGCAGTCACTGTGGCTTATAGTATCTATACAGCTGTAAATGTTTGTTTCTCATATCCTACATGCATTTCTATTCCAAATACTACTAACTTTGCTCATTCATATAGAAATATATACACTTACTATTAGACAATAGGTTTTAAACAACTAAATTGTGATTTGTGTTCAATTGACCTTTCTCACTTTCTTTTGTGATTTTGTGAAAAAGAACTAAACCTAATCGATTTCATCAAAAGATTTATGGGTGAAAGTCACTTGATCTGTTGAATTCAAAGTTCCATACTCTGTGTACGGAAGCTACCCATCGTTCAGTACCTGTTTACCTAAAATCATATGGTGAACTGAAAATTCTTTTGTGAGTATATATATATATATATATATATATATATATATATATATATATATATATAATTGGCTGAGATTTCTCACTTGTACTGATGTTCCGATACTTACTGAGACGTTTAGATGTTAGACTGTATGGGCGACGTTAATTAAGCTAAATTGAACAACGCCATATAAAACTTATCCCCAGTTCATATCTCTTCGTAAGTGGTAAATAATTTTGTTCTCTAACCGATATAATTCTGTCATATTGTTCATTTGATTCGTTAAAAGGATTATTCAATCAAATTGATGACCGGATATCATAATACAATGTACTTAGTTTTGGATAATTAGAGACTTTAAACTTCATTGCTATCAAACCTCAACACGAAGTCTTATAACAGTGGTTTAGGTTGTAATATAGCAGTAGCTTAGTCTTTTTCATTAATTCGCTGCTCTTAATCTTTAAACCATAGCAACAAATGATCTAAATTTGTATCTTTGAAAGAAGTACTAGTCCCTTAAAGACTACATATTTGTCTACAATTTAGTGTTGCAAGTGGAAAATTCAAATCAATCGGAGATTCTTGGCTATTCTCATTCTATGCAACTCACATCGACCTATCAGAGCGAATTATTTAATTTTGTTTTGATAAGCATATCCCTTTCTTTTTTTTGAATAATGATCTATTGCTAACTTTGTGTAGGTATAACTCTAATTGAACTTGCTCAAAAAAGACCACCTCATAACGCTACTAATCCAACACGTGTTTTGTTGAGAATTCTGAAGTCTGACCCACCAACTTTATCTAGACCACAATTATGGTAAGTTACCATTTATTTAATGGATCAACCTTATTGTTCGAAATCTCAGTTTTTAGTTATCTAAATTAGGTCATATATACATGGTAAGTCAAATATTCCAGATTCCTCTCCATAGACTTTCTGTACTTATCATACCCTTGTCAACATGAACTTATCATAATATTTAGCATCAGAGTTGTGTTTGGTTTCGTTGCTATAATGTACAGTTTTTAGTGTAGCAGGAGCTCAGTGGTTAAAACCTGACTCGAACCCCATCCCACTTACTTTTGCTTGAACAATCGGATATTATCACTAGCCCTTAAACATAGCCAAACAACCAAGTACGTAAGTCTATGACCATTAAATAAATACAATACTTAAGTTCGTTATCGATATTTCTTTCTGACTATAGTAATCAGAGTTTAGCAAAGCTTAGTTGTTTGTGTTTATGTTCCGTCGTTACTCAGAGTAGACTATGCACTTACCACAAGTTCGAACCCCTCCTTTGATTTCTTCAGTTTTGGATAACCAGGTATTATTACTGACCCTCGAATAGTGTCGCTCAAAACTGTTTAATAAATGATTTCTTCCCATTCAGGCCTCATTTCATTTTGTTCTGGGCAAAACTGTTGGAGTATGTTTTTTTAAGGACAAATATTTAAACTGGATTTGTGTTTCATTATATAACAGTGTACTAGTTTTATTCATTTGTTTACTTTATTTTATTAAAGCTAACAAAATTCAAATTCTTTTATTAACGCTAACAAAAAGAGTGAGCGGAGAGTAGAAATTGTCCGTAATGATTCGATAACCAAGTATAACTTCATGAATCTAGCTTTGAGTCACTTGTTTTAGTTTGATGAAAACTAGTGATAATTACTGAGTACTTAAATTAAAATAGATGGAACAAACTTTAAATCTGCTACTATTTGATTGAAAGTTGGACACTATCTACTGCACTAATTGGTTTTAGTATATCGATTATACATGAACTGCCAATAATACCTACTTTTTTGGACATTCACATGATGTTTATTTTATTTATATTTATTAATTAATAGATGTATTGATAAGAATCATAAATTTACAATGAAATATATAACAGATATATATGTATATATATGATAGTATTTTGAAAAGAGAAAGAACAAAGATTCTAGCAGAATAGCATGAATTCATTTCTATTTCGTAGGTTCTCATCAGCTGCTTACAACCTATGATATTTAAAAAATCATAATTACATAATGGATTTCCATTATTTACATGAGACGGTTTGGTTGAAAGCTATATTAAAGACATATTCGTATAGTATAACAAGGGTGTAAATGAAATTAATCGACTAAATATTGTAAATATATACCTTATGTGATGAAAGAACATTTTACAATATTGATTGTGACAACAGTTCAAAGGGCTAGAGACAAGTGATGATTGCATAATGAGTAAACATCGATAGGAATATAGTGAGTAGAGCTCAGTTGATAAAATAAAATTATTAATTTGGAAGATTGTTGAAATAAAATTCAATGATGTAATAGATGCAAGAAAGAGTTTAAAAAAGAAGATGCAACGAAGGGATATTTGTCATCAAGGAAAGGGAAGGCAAGATTAATAACCATCTCCTTTTGAACATAAAAGTCAGGATTCTGACGCCTGATAGTAACGGCTTCAGCAAACTTCAGAAGACTAGAGTTTAGCAGATGTCCTGTATCAAGGAGATGTTTGGTGATTTCACGGTTTCGAGTCTTTCCCTTGTTCTGAGAATTTTCGGGGCATGTTTAAAAAATAAAAACGAATTCATGCTATTCTGATGGAATCTTTGTTCTTGCTCTTTTCAAAATCATAAAGGGAACTATGTGTATGTAATAGTATTTTTCTGAAATAGTTATACTTTTCCAGCTATAAACCTTCATTTTGTCCTGTGATGAAATCCTGTGCTTTATCTTTCTATTCAAGCAATTCGTTAGATGTTGTGATTCACATCGTAACGTTGGAATCAGTTACTTTGGTTATTGGGTTGTATTATATATATTTTTAGTACAATTCGTATTTTGTTGCAGAAGGTTTCAATTCACAGGGTTTTCGATCAATTATTTTCACGATATCACAAACGAATTGTTGTTATATTTGAATTGTCTGTTTGGTGAGACTATAATTTATGAACGACCTTTAAGCGACGCTAAAGTAACCTTGAGAGTGTCCACCTAATAACTAGGACGAAATGAGGGTTGTAAACCAGTGTGAGGACTTGTGATTTACAGTTGACGGTTAAGGTTAGGAATTATATTTATGGTTTTTGCTATTAACTGACATCAGCTATAATGCCAAGACTATTTACTCAAGTGGATGAGTGAATTTCGCGCCAAAACTCGAGACCTGTTATCTTATACGTAATTGGTTCATCCATAAATTATAGTCTCGCCGTCTGTTTTTCTGATTAACGGCATAGTACTAATTCAACTGCGAACTATGGAAACAAAATATTACCAACTATTTATTTATTAACATAACTCTTATAATAGAACTTAATGGAATGAAGTACTATTGATAATGATTGATTTATATACTACTATATTTGTAACTAGTAGTTCTGTAGAGTATACGTTATCTCTCATCAACAATAGTAACATTGAATACTTTATGTAATGGGTATATTTTTTAAAGATATTAAACTAACAATCGCATTTACGATATGCTTATTAAACTTATCGTACAATGTTATTCGTTCATGTCTTTTAATTTATGGATTAATTGTTCTGGCAACGTAGTGTTGGATAAATGTCTGGTGATTTCTTTGATTGATACAGTGGAACATACTAGCTAAGTACTTACTCGATTACTTCGTTTAGAGCTACATTTATGTATATGGATTAATCATACTATGTAGCTGCTTGGATCAAAGTAAACAGATAAAGATTCAAGTGTATAACTCAATAATTGGAACAATAGTGTTCTTTTTCAGTAACTTTTTGTTTAGAATACTTAATTTTCAGCTGTTAGATTTTAGGTTCGAAACCCTCTGCACTTAAATACTTTTAAAGTGTACTTCAAAACCGAGTGCATAAATTTTTACTTGATTAGTGAGTTAGCCTTATAGTTTAGCAAATAAATTACCGTTTCATACTCAACTTATATAACTTCTTTTTATAAGCTTCTATGACTGTATTTTTCCACAGTTTAATGAAAACTCTGTACTCTCTTTTATCTAGTTTCATTTAGTTAAGCGGTTAGTATTACCGACTCTACTGTTAAATTATTTTTCATTTGATTATAATTTATTATAGGTCTTCAAAATTCAAAGCGTTCTTGGAGCGTACACTACAAAAAGATCCAAATCAAAGACCCGAGTGTAGAGATCTTCTCTTGGTAAGTTGATGGCTTTTTTATCAAATACATTTTATACTGACATAGTGAGTAAATGTACTGATATTCAAGTCAGTAATAATTCTCACTTTACCAGTTAGATGCTTTCTTACGAGAAGCACAACTGCCGTTACTAGATTTCAATTTAGACATAGAAAGTTATAGCTGCTTGTCATTTAAATGGATATCATTTATTTTTCTATACCTTATCACACTAACTATTACGTATTGACCGAGTATGATGCTAATCAAATTAAATGACAAATCTAACAGTAATTCATGACATAGTAAAACTTTCTCATAAGATAACATTCATGGAAGTACATTTATCAAAAGCACAACACCTAATCCTAAACACCTTGTTTTTACTGATATACTTAAATTATTCCATAAGTACTTGTGTGTAAACCACATCCCAGGTGTAAGGGTCAATTATACTATCCGGCTGCGCAAACGGGAATAGGTGGAGTGAGGTCTGAACTGAGAACTAATGGGCTGAAAGTTGAACACCTTAGCCACTAAGCCACCGCTCTTATTTACTTACTAGACTGATGTAGCGTTTTATGACCAACCAAATTACAAGAGAGATGTTGGCTCCTCCAAGACATTATAAACGGTGGTCAAGTTGTTTTAAAAACCGTGAATTGGCAATTTAATAGATAGGAACCTTTGAATTCTGGCACTATGTGACGATATATGAGGAAGACTATGCCAATGTTTAGTCTGAAATTGGTTATAGTTCAGATGATTGATGATAAAAGTTCTCCAACTGGATTTCTGCATCAATTCTACCAGTGTATCTTGTTGTAATATGAAAAATCCAATCCGTGAAATCGGTTTGTTGTATAATCATGTCGTATTCTGCTGTATGATTTGTTCAAAATATGCACCTCCTACGGTATACCAAGTCCTCTGTGAATGTGAGAAAACTATATGAATAGAAATATTCACTTGCATGTTAAGTCCTCTACTTGATTACGATTAATAAGATATATGATTTCATCAGTCAGACGCGTAGAATCCATATTCAAAAATCGAAAAGACAGAAGAAAATAGGAGGATGGTTTATTGTGTAAGGGTTTTAAATGTACAGAACAGGTCTATTTATAGATTCTGGCGTAGGCCATAACATCATTATGATCCAGCGAATTCTGACTTTGGAAGTTTATACAACTGTCCAATTAGAGCATCCTACGTTGATATTCTAGGGAGTTCTATTTCATTGTTATTGGATGACACTTCTTCGGCTCCTTTAAAGCCTCCGGAGGCCTCGTTACCTGTTCTGGGAGCCATCCCAACATTGTCAAACTAAGTTTTAATGCACATAATTCATGTGTATTTACTTATTCACCTGGATAACGACACGTAGGCAACGGACCCTTAACCGAGGAATAATCTACTTTCTTTAATTCAATACCTCCGTAACATCTCACCTAACTTTTGACGTTAAGACAATACATAATTGACTTTTTATGGCATCATGTAGTATATCTAGATGCACTCAATCTGTTAAATCCTATCTACGATCTTGAATCTATTCTCTTGAAGTGTCAAAGAACACTGCTCAATGCTTCTTCATCATTTGATGGTAGTTCATGATTAACATTTTTCTTCAAATTAAGTCTTAGTTACTCTATGAGATTTCAACAGTTTATTCATTCTCTTTTCTTTAAAGCTTAAAATGAATATTGATTAGAGTTTTAAAGTGCTGGACTTTCTGTACCTGTTTGTTCATGATGTCTTGAATACAAGTTTTTGTTTACAAAATAATAATTAGCTAAGTATTGTATTTTGTTTTATAAACTTGGTTGTTGTTTCTTTTTTTCTATTGATGAAATAAAACCACACATTAACACATTATACTACTTATGTGACATAACTCATCTATGATTTTATCAACATACCACACATATACTAACTACAATATTTTGTTATTATATATGATTTGCCAATTTTCAGTCAATTTGTTTTCTTGAATAGAAGTGAACTATCTATAGTTGTGTTAAACTAGAAATTATACAAGCAATAAGGTGGTAATGCTGATTACGAAAATCCATGAATTGTCATATGACTATTGACTTGTGACGGCTGTATAAAAGATACAGATGTGTAATATATCTTCTCAAACATAGATAAAGATGTTATTATACAAATATTTCACTGATTGAAATCATGAGTCAATTGAAGCTAGACAGACCACAATGGAAAATGATCTGCTCACTAGTGACTGACTTCAAGAGATATTCCTGGAGTTGTAGTGAGAAGCCGTTACCAGTAAAGTTCAACTAAGTCTGTTGTGAGAAATCAACTCACTGAAAACAATGGTGTACGGTGGCGCAACTTCGTGGATTGGTTCAAGTTAGACATTAACACCTTTGGATGCCAGCTAAGTGGTCTAGTTGGTTAAGCGCCTGGCTCAAGACTGATAGGTCCTGGGTTCGAATCTCGCGGAGTGCGGGGTCGTGGATGCACACTGTTGAGGAGTCCCATGCTAGGACGAAACGGTCTTCCAGTGCTTCCAGGTTTTCTATGGTGGTCTAGCCTCAAATGACTCATGATTTCAATCAGTGAAATCTCTAAAATCGCCACAAAACCCCTTCTGATACAAATATTTAATAGAGCAAGAAATTTTGACCGCGTGTTTGATATTTGTTTTGTTTTATATTGTTTATTCACAGGATCCATTTGTTTCCGATGTGACGGAAAATGATCGTAAAGTAATTCAAATACTATTATGTGAAGTCAATGCAGATATTATTGAAACAGTTGAAGATTTCGATCCAAATGAGCCTGTAAGTTACTTCAGAAATACACGTAATAATAATAATAATGTGATCCACCTGTTGATTAAAGGTTCTCATACATAGGTTGTGGCCGCATGTTAGTTGCAAAGGCTAATGATACTAACTATATATAATACCAAAATTAAAATATGTGAAGTGGACTCGAACCTGAAATCTATTGATGGGAAATTCGAATGCACTATAATTGATATTCTGTATATAGATGACATTCAAAGGCTTTTTTTATTTGTTTACAAATCACGTAATCTGTTTGAATGATTATTATTAATAACTATACTCAACTTGTCAACGGATTTGAGACTGTTTTCACATGATTCACTTTTATCTAACCTGAAGTTATCTTCAGTTTTTATATACGAAAATAGTACTGAAAAATCTAATATATAAACTTATATTAAGCTACTGAATTGCATTCATAGTTTCTACATCTCATTCCATACCATTGGTTGGCTTATATCAACCATAGTTGACGTACGACTACTTTTAATAATGTTACTAACTATGCTACTCTGGTATCTGTTCATGCTGATATCATATGGGAGCTTAAATCGATATGTTAGGTTCTGCGTTTCTTATGACTGACTGACTGAAGTGAGTACGTAACATTTAATAGAAGTTTCATTCTTGCTGGCATTTCAGCAAGTTGTATCTGGAACCATATTTGATCTGAACGTTTTAAAAAAATATAACTCATATGCCAATTGTAAGCCTATGTTCACTGATCGTCAAACAACACTTATTTAAGATAGCTAGTGATATCCACTCGGTTACCGAAGTCAGCTTAAGTGGACCGGGGCTTACAACTACGACTAAATAACTTCCAGAGTTAAAATCGGTAAGCTATTAACACTCTGAACTAATTTGATTATCAACATCAATGATATAATGACCTCGTAGATTATTATCATCCATCGATTTTTTTCTCCTAAGTTTGTATATAACCTGTGTATTCAAATCCATAGTGTTTTAATGATTGTCGCATAGTGTACATTCACAAGTTTTTCTCCTTATTTGTTTTGTCTTGTAATAACAATGTGTTAGTTACAAAAAGCACATTTATAAACATATACACGTATATGTATGGTTGATATTGTTTGCTTAGATAATTAGGCCATTTTGTTTTATATGCTAGATAGTTTGAAAAAGAGAGATATGTATGTGTCTGAATAGTGATATCCTTCATATAACTTATGTTGATTGTATAACTTATCAAATAAGCACTATCGCATGTTTATTTGAAGGAGATAAAATCAGAACATGCTATCATCCATTATTTGACTTGTTAATTAATATTCTGATAAGTCTATAATTATATTTTCTTCTGACCTTTCAACTTTCTAACATAGTATTCTCAGAGTATATATTCACACTTATGAATAGTGATGGTGGGTATTGGTAGTACAGACACATGGAGAGACAGACCTAACGACATGAGACTTTTGAGTTCTAAAGATGGCGTAGTATGTAGAAAGCACCAGTATGGTGTGGCAACGTAAAAACGATGTACATGTGTGATAGATTCTAAGTTATATATGACTGACTGATCTAGAAAGAGAAAGTCAATGTAAAGAGACAATAATTTGAATTGGACCGGGCGAGGTAAATAAACAAACTAAACCTATTCTCTTTAATTATATTCCCACTTTAGTCAAGAAAACTGTAACTTGATCTAGATATATCTAAAGTCAGATATAGTGATTCACTCGGTTATGATGATGGGATCACCGGGTAAGTAATAGTGAGGTTAGACACAGGGCACTAAGGAATGATGGTAAATCAGTTGATGAGGTTGTGAATCTTCATCGACTGAGATGGTTGGGCCACGTATTACGCATACTCGACCACCGATTACCACAGTGCGCAATGCTGACTGGTGTTAGAGACGGATGTCAGGAAGTTGGGAGAGGCCAAACCTAAATGTGGCACCAGTCCACAAAGTCACTAACTTTTGGTCTGAACCATGTAGGGAGATGCAGACTACTTGTTTGGGGTCCGCGTGACTATCGTAACCAATGGTTGGAGACTCTGGATGACATGGATCAGAATCCATCACAATGGCATCGGTGTATACACTCTTTGTCTTTCCTTAAAACATGAGATTAAAATTGCTTTATGTCTTTCTTTCTACGCACTAATTCTTTCTTCCTGTACTATATCCTTATATGCAATCTTTCTTTTATATAATACCACCATTAAATTAATTGCTTGTATGAATTCGGTGTTCATCTTGTTGTGTTAATGAGGTATGGCAACTTGGACTGATACATATATGTGCCTGGTCCTATGTTGTAGCTGACTAACTGATGAGTTTATCTAAAAAGGTTAGATATACAGTCGTATCGTTTGTAAAGTAAATTCAACTTATTTTTTATTCGACGAAATTTTTTGTTAAGAGCGATAAACTGTGTATACACAAATGTGCTTTCAGATAGAAATGGAATAAAAAAACTAAACTATCAGATAAAGAGATTAAACAGTTTGAAAATATGATATTACTCTTATTGACATAAATGTGAATTTAAATCATTTGCCTTTTAAAATAATAAATAAAAAATGAGTTTCAATAACTTTACTTCATTTTATGACTATGGAAGATTTGCAGAGATTATCTAATGTCAATACTGTTTAAGTTGTAAAATGTAGTACCAGGAAGCTATTTTTTTCTTATCATAGGACCTTTCAATAGTGTACACTAGCAATTAGTCATTAATGAGTAACTGATCATTATTAAGATGAAACTTCATTTAATAATGTGAAGAATCATGAATAATTTATATTCCACTGATCATTGGTAAATACAACTTTGTAACCTAGTAGAATTTCAGTCATTAGATTTTAATCAAGCTTAATACGAACGAGGTCATTATTCTAGGTGTTATGTTCAATATTCGTCTTTATCTAGTTCATGCCTTAGTACATGGTTACCACTTTCCATTCTTATTCAATTGTGTTGAAAATATGTCTTATCTCTTTATATTAATTTAAGTAAAGCTTGATTTAAACATATAACCTATTGACCACATCTTTATCATACATTAATAGTGTATTGATAATAATTATACTGATTATAAAATGTATCTTCTCAAATTCAATCTAAATAGTTATTTAAAAGGAACAACAATAACAACAACGAAACAAACAAACAAATTCTTCTTTTAAATAGAATGTTGAAAGAACTTGATTTGACTTAGTAGAAACATTCCTAAGTTCAATAGAAAATAAAATGTACATTTTTGTATAAACCACCACCATATATACATATTAACTATAAATTAATCTCTCTCTCTCTCTTTGTTTCCATCTGTGGTATTTTTTATCAAGAATGTGTGACTTCAGTCAGTCAGTTACAACGTAGGACCAGGCACATAGGTGCATTAGTCCAACCTGAAATACCTCACTAGCACAACAAGATGAACATCGAATTCATAGAAGCAATTAATTCAATGGTGGTAATATATAAAAGAAAGATTGCATATAAGAACATAGTACAGGAAGAACGAATTAGTTCTTAAAAAGAAAGATATGACGCGATTTTAATCTCATAGTTTAAAGGAAGAAAAAGGGTGTATACACCGATGCCATTGTGATTGATTCTGAGCCATGTCACACAGATTCTCCAACCATTGGTTACGATAGACACGTGGAACCCAACCAACTAGTCTGCATCTACCAACATGCCTCAGACTAGAAGTTATTGACTTTATGGACTGATGCCACGTTTTGGTCCGGCCGTCCCTAACTTTCTTCCAACCATTCCCAACACTAGTCAGCAATGTGCATCGTGGTAATCGGTGTTCGGGCATACGTAACACGTGGTGCAACGATGTTAGTCGATGAAGATTCACAATCTCATCAACTGATTTACCATAATTCCCTAATACCCTGTGTCTATCCTCACTACTACTTACCCGGTGAGCAATATTTCTAAGACATCTGCGGTCAAATACTAGTAGCTTACGAATATCTTCTATTCTTAATGGCCATGTTTCGCAGCCGTAAAGGAAAACAAAACGAACTGCCGCGCAGTCTGTCTGACTTAATTATCAGTAAATTAATTGTTTATTTTATGTGAACTAATTGAGTAAAGGTAACTACGATTACTCTGACTATTCTGTTCAGTTTATATCGTGTCAATTTACTATTTAAGTTATGCTAAAGTGTGAGAATATGGGCCCAGTGCTTTATCTGTGTGCTCGGTTCTACGTTGTTACTATATGATTGATTTATACAAGGCAATATTTATGAACTACAAAAAGAACTTTTCAACTGAGATCTATCATTCCGAATATCACCCAAGCTGTTAAAAATTTATATATATATATATATATATATATATATATATATATATATATATATATATATATATATATGGCGAGCAGCAATTCGGAAGACTCACCCGGTGTCCCACATTGTACGAGCATTCCATGTACCTAAATAAATAGTTGCTCTAGTTGTCAGAAGGGGCATCAGCCTCGTGACTCCCGAAGGAACTCGGCTTTCACCATGTGGCGTCATAACTTTTCCAAACGAAGACCTGACTCCCAGGGCAGAGTTTAGATGGTTTGAATAATTTTTTCTGATTAGCGATTTTAGCGGGTTAGTTTTTTACAGGATAATGTCGCTAACCCGATACCTAACCCTTCTCTATTATCCGGGCTTGGGACCGGCAGTAGCCCCAGACGGGCTCCATGTGGAGTTATATATATAAGATAATACTATTATGTTTGCTACTACTATTCCTCCTATTACAATCCAATAACTAAGACTCGTTGTCTCCATAAATTCAACAATAATTGAGAAAAACAAAATAATATTCTATTCATTGTAGATTGATGAAATTGACGATAATGATTTGAATCCACTTATACTGTCAGATTCTACGAAATTATCAATTCCTGTTGAAATCGTTTATGATGGTGATGATGATGATGTTGATAATGATAATAATAAAAATGATGCAATCGATGAAGAAAATGATAATTCAAAGAATAAACATGAATCAAATAAAAATCTTAAACAAATAAATGATAATAGTGGTGATAGTGGTGTAAGTTTTGAACAAACAACTTCTGATAATCATTATGAATTAACAAAACAATCTGATTCAGTAAGTGTATTATTTTTCTTAATTGTTTTTATATTCGTTATGTATACTTTCACTATGAAAATAGAATATTTCCTTCTTAGTATTCTATCGTTACAGATTTAGCGTAAATTGTAATTATATGAGAAATTTCCATGTAATTTTAATAGTTGAGATCATGAGTCAATTGAAGCTAGATCACCATGGAAAACCTGAAAGCACTGGACGGCCATTTTGTCCTACTGTGGGACTCCTCAGCAGTGTGTATTCACGATCCCGCCTGTCGACATTCGAACCCAGGATCTATCAGTCTTACGCATGAGCGCTTAACCATTATTAGATCACTGAGTTGGCCAGTATCCAACGATGTTAATGTTTAACTTCAACTAATCTACAAAATTGAGCGACACATCCACCATTGTCTTCAGTGTGTTACTATCTCACAATTGACTCATGATCTCAGCTATTAGAATTACTGCAATATCCATAAAACCTCTTCTGATAATTTATAATGTGATATGCAGTTCTTGAAATGAATTAATCAAAAGTGTAGTACACTTAACACTATAATTTCATGTACATAAAATGTATGTTTACTAGTTTGTTCACTATGAGATTTACTTCAGTATGTATATCTTTCTGTTTTCGTTTTTCAAACAACTCAACATTTGTGGATTGTTCCCTTCATCAAAGTTTTTAAATGTGTAACTTAAATGGGAACAACAATGTTTTCTTTTTAACGAAATGATCATAAGACTATTGTGGAAAGAGATATTGATTATTTAATAGATATGCGAAATGGGTTGGATGGAGAATGCTGGTGAGCGGCCTATGCTCCTTCACGAGGAGTAACAGGCGTAAGTAAGTAAGTAATGCGAAATAAGGTTATTTGTAACATACGCTTACAGTCTATTGATATTATTCACCTTGATTTACTACTACTGTTGTTGAAAAAACATCGCTGAAACTCTTCAGAAATCTATATTTTCAGCTGATTTGTTCTTTCACATTATTTTCCCAACTCAAAGCATTGTTTTTTTTTAAAAAAAATCGTTTGCATAGATGATTTTCGCAAATTTATTTCATGAATAGCTATGTACATAATGGGTCAGTAATAATACCATAGAAGAAATTGTACACCTTTGGTTTTTTTCATGAACACAGAGGGTTTATGTTTTTTTTGACATTAAATTGTTTGTACAGTTTTCACGGCCATTAGCGATAAATCTTTGATTCACTTGAAGAAAACTTTTCTCTCAATATGTTATCTGCATAAGTTTCTTCTTTAGTATGTGCTGCTTCTTTGTTCTCTGTGTCGTTTGCATGATATCTCGATGGCTGTTGTCAAAATGTCTAAATGTTTTGACGTGAATTTCCTTTATAGTTTCATCTTTTGGTCCTCTGTGACGTGTTAGTATTTGCAGATCCTGTAATGTGCATCCGTTATCATTAGATGTACCATTTTTATTTCCCTTTGGCTCGCTATTCTCCATCCTAATAGGCACTGGTTAGCAGAGCATTCTGACGAAGACACTTGTGGAGTAAATACAGTTGTTCTCGAGTGGAAGCTTGCCTGTTGGCGAAATTTTCTAATTTTCGAACAGAGAAGCGTACTACGCTCATATGATTTCGAGGTGATGGTGAAGATTTGTAGTTGAGGTGGATGATTTTGATGGAGTTCTGTTCTCTGAGCTGGATGGTTTGGTTATGGAGCTTTCATCGTTCTTCTAAACGACATCCGTGACCATATTCACACGCTTTTTCTACATTTGCTCAACTTGGTACGATTTGGTTAGAAAGCTAGGAAGAATATAAAGCTTTAATTGGCAAACCGAATAAAGTATACACCAATAAATTAGTATATATATATATATATATATGGCCTAGATGAGGACATACAGATTTAGACATTTGCTGAGTATGTAGTCGGCTTCATTCGATAGCGTGCCTAATTTACTACTTTCCATATACCTTTCGGTCGTGATATAATATGTGAGCACAATCACGTAACGTTTTCAGATCCACCCAGCCTATCAGTGAAGGTTTTTCTTTATAATTTGAGTGACTAATGATTAATTTGAAAAGACATAGTTTTACCATAAATTGATATCAGCTGAGAAATCGTTTAAAATCAACTAGCACTGGTTAGACATTTTACTCTAGTGATAAATCCATGACTTTACACAAAATTTAAGCCTATTAGAGCTTTCGGCTTTCAACCACTAGGTTTTAGGCTTCAAACCCGCTCCACTTTTTTTAAATTTCAGCACTCAGCTAGAGATACTAGTATCTCTAGCCCTCATACTTAAAGTTCTCCTCTAAGCCAAATGAATCAGTTAGTATCTAGTAAATAATTAGTACGAAATTCCTTATCGATCAATCAGTTCGAATCCAGTTATTTCAGTTTTAGTTCATTTGGTTTACAACGTGATCCTTGGTTAATGTATCATCAGTCGTGTTTATTAACATACAGTTACAACCAACATCTTTCTAAATTAACAAACTAAGTACTAAAACAAATAAAGTATATTTGATCTTGTAGGGAATGAATTATCGACGGGACCAGTGACGCATAAAATGAGTACGAGAAGTCTGGGGTCCTTATCATTCCTGGTTCCTGCCTAGCCCACGCAGCCAGTTAAGTCCAAAACACCAATCTCAGCCTTTACAATATGAATAATGTATTCCAAACATACTGGGTTTATATACCAACCAGACAGACCGCATCGCACCATAAAGTAGGAAACAACATTTGTACAAGAATTAGCCAAATGTGACTGTGAATGGGGGAGGTAGTGACTAATAGACAGGGCATAACTGGAGAATGGTAAATTGTATAATAATAGTTCATAGGTCAAAATAAAGCTCATAATAAGAGGAACATGAATATAAATAACAAAATGTTTACAAAAATCTACACAAACACTAGTCGTTGATAATCAACTTTACTTTATACAAAAAGAAACCCATATTAGTTCGATTTATTTTTTATCACTCTTGAGGATGTAATTGCAGGTCAAGTATATCAGCTTTTTACATTTTGACATGGACTATCATTTCAGATTTTATTGCTGTTAATCTGTGTACTATTAAAGTTAATTGTTCAGTGTATGTGATTATACCTAGTAATGTTCTATCTATTGATTATCTCATTATTGTTACTCTGTACTCAAGTAATAATAATCCGTTTATAAGTTAGGTCAAGGTTAACTAAGTAGGTCTAATGGAAATATTCTTAAAATACTACTTTATTTAAATTAGTTCGTGTATGAAGTACTATTAGTCTCTGTATAATATATCTCAATTACTACTAAATGACTAAATTGTAATCTGAGTTCTTCGATTATTTGAATACATCGTGGATTGGTTGAAGTTAGACATTAACACCGTTGGATGCCGGCTCAGTGGTCTAATGGTTAAGTGCTCGCGCACGAAGCCAGTAGGTTCTGGGTTCGAGCCCCGAGTGGTGCGGGGTCGTGGATGTGCACTGCTGAGGAGTCCCATACTAGGACGAAACGGCCGTCCAGTGCTTCCAGGTTTTCAATGGTGGTCTAGCTTCAACTGACTCATGATTTCAATTTGTGAAAACATCTTACTATATTTCAAGCTTGACTGTTTATTTCAGTATTTCATGTGAAGCTGATATAACATCGGGCAAGTTAATGAGATATTTCGCTATATTCTTGAGAGCTGCAAACTGTTTATAAGAGTACATCATCTTTATGCCACTTTCTGTTAGTTGAGTTGTGTAGAATTTTTTAAATGTGGTAAATTTGTAACAGAAAGAAAAATTTATCCTAACTTTTAAATTGGTTATCTCCACGGTTCATGTCTTTGAATTACTTGTTCTTTATGCAATCCCTTTGCCATCAACTAATTAATCGATATTCACTGACCCAGGCTTTCATCGTCAATCAATTTACGATATAATATTGTCAAACGAGATTGGAATGAATGGGTTAAACACGACCATTATGCAGGTCCCAGAATACGATTTATATGACTCTGCCCATACTAAAGTATCTGAATCGCACGACACAGGATTTATTGCAACAATCACATGTCACTATGCTTGCGCACAAATTTTATCGGTAGTACGGAATCTGTAAAAATAATCATTAGTTATTTATAACAATAGAAATTGTGTTACTCTATCAGATATCGTCATCATTATAAAACATTACCGGTCAAACAGTAAACGATAACGAATCAAGCTTGATTTAAACGGCATCAAACAAAATTGCTGAATGAACGCTATTGCTTTAAGTTTTGGAACGTTCAAGCAAACCAACAGCTTCACTTACAGAGATTTCGGGTCACTTCTGAAAATCCAGTGGGAATTCATCGCCTTTGTAGTCAATCAAATTAAATATGAGGTGATACCTACTTACTCCTGTTACTCCTCGTGCAGGAGCATAGGCCGCCCACCAGTACTCACCATCCAACCCTGTCTTGGGCAATCCTTTCCAGCTCTTTCCAGTTGTTATTCATCCTTTTCACATCTGCTTCTATTTCCCGACGTAATGTGTTCTTTGTCCCTCCTCTTTTCCGCTTCACTTCAGGATTACAAGTTAGGGCTTGTCTCGATACAGTTTGGTGATTTCCGTAATGTATATTTTATCCACTTTGAATGTCTTTTCCTAATTTTCTCTTCAACTGGAAGCTGGTTTGTTCTCTCACATAGTAGGCTGTTGCTGATGGTATCCAGCCAATCGATGTTGAATATCTTGCGTCGACAACTGGATGAAGATCAAACTTGAAAATTAGTTTATTAATTTTTCAAGAATAAAAATTATCATCAAGCTATACTAATATTTTTTTGTAGACAGTATATCGAATGATGTATAGATAATAAAATATAAGAAGATAAACCCTATTTTTATAGTGTACCTTGTTTGTCTTAAAGTCTCATTCTGTATGATAATAAATAATACTAACCAGTTGCTCAAATAGATGTAGATGATGCGAATGCTTAATGGTTGAAATTCGAGTGTTTCAACCACACTACAGCTCATTGCTCCATTGTTGTATGTTCTCTGTTATTTTTGCAACTAAATAAAGTCAATATCATATCATTATAGTCTAGTTTGTTGAATTCCTACATCCATTCGTAAATATCTTATCCGTTAAGTTTTTTTGTTTTTATAGTTAGACAAAATTAGCAGACCAATTGTATTTTTAGAAGATTTTTAACCAGTTCATTGGTGTGTTTTATTGTTTATGTTACTAAGTATTATTGTATTTACGTTTGCTGTTGTTGTTGGCACTATTCCATCACAAATTATTTGCTCTCTATATCATTTAGTAATTTAACCAATCTCTTTCTCACTATACATTTTTGAATGTGTATATCTTAATGTATTTTCTTCTATCTGTTTAGTCATGATTTGTAAATATTAGTTCTACAACAATAATAATACATTCAATCATTTGACAGCGAATATAGTACACAGAGACTATACTATCCAGTGGTAACTATTGTAAAATTGAGTAATGTAGGCATGAGTCCCATAAGGTGGATTAGTTCTTTCAAGATTTAAAATGTACTTTAATAAGGTGTTCCGAGTAGCACAAAACTTGGGCTCAGGGGATCCACTCAACTACATTCAACCTATTAACATATTCTTTCTAAAAATGATCTCCATCTTGTAAGTATTTTCGCGTTTTGTGATGTTACATAAACAATATGAGGTTGTACAGTTGATTATTCACTGTATTGGTTAAAAGATTTTTGTTATTAGTAGTTTCAACCAGGTTTATTTTACATTTATTGTTGAAGTTCTTTTCGTTGTCTGAGTTTCAGTTGAAAATTTTTTCGAAAAATGTAGTTACTTTTTAAAATCGAATACAATTCATTATGTTAGAAGGTGGGGAAAATGCCAGGACTATCATTGGTTGCAATAGCTCGGTCATGTTCTTTGAAACAAGATCTACTACAGACAACCACTAAACCAGTTGTGAAAATGCGTTCTAAAGTAAAACGTCGATCTACTGTTGCACATGTCAGTCAAAGAAAATCCGGTTCATTATTCACTATCTCATCGATTTACAAACCTAATAACGTACCGGTATCAACTAACACTAATCAATTATCATGTGAAAAATCAATTAATACCATACAATCAAGAAATAATCATAATAAATCAGCAACTACTAATCATACTTCTTTTAAAGTTACTGTATGTCCTACAAGGATAGATAAATCAATGATCAATATAGATTTACCATCTATTAAACCAAATATATCTAAGAAAATTTGGCGAACTGAATTAAATTTACCAATTTTATCACCAATATTAAAAAAGAATCAAAATGTTGATAATATAAAATCAACAATCATATATGATTATGGAAATTCTCAACAACCACAACAACAACAACAAGTAAATACAATTCACATTCTAATCTACACTATACACAGCTGATTATATAAATCCAACACCTCTATAGTGATTATTTATAAATAAAACTAAGTGCTCTAAAAATTGAATGCTATTTGATTTGAAACGAAAAACCTCATCATTCAATTTACACATGATGATACCATTGCACATTTGATTTATTGTTGTTGCATAATTATGTCATATAAAAGTGATCAGGCTTCTTCTACATTCTATTATGCACTTTTGCTATAAAGAAGAAAAAAAGAACTAACACATTCATTGCACTTTTATCAATAAATATCTGAATTTGTGGAGATTAAAGTTAGACCATTATGGAAAACGTGGAAGTAATAGGCGGACGTTTCGTCTTAGTATGGGACTTCTCAGTAGTGCACATCCATGATCCCGCTTACGGGGTTCGAACCAATGTAGTTCAACCAGGTCTGTTGTGATAGTATAACAGATTGAAGACAATGGTGGATGGTGGCGCAGTTCCATGGGTTGGTTGAAGTTAGACATTAACATCGTTGAATGCCGGCTGGCTCAGTGGTTTAGAGGTTAAGTGCTCGTGCACGAGACTGATAAGTCATGGGTTCGAGCCTCGCGAGATAGGATTGTGCGTGCGCACTGCTGAGGAGTCCCACAATAGGACGGAACGGTCATTTAGTGCTTCCAGATTTTCCATGGTGATCTAGCTTCAATTGACTCATGGTCTGACCATTGAAATTAATATATATATATATATATATATATATATATATATATATATATATAATTTGATTTATAGACAACTATTCATGCTTATAATAATCGTTCATGAGATATACCAACCTATGCACCATATGATTACCTCTTTATCAAGCACATGAACTGATTTTTTTAAATAATTTTGTAATGTGACTTTAAATTTCTTTCTGATTGGCTTTCATTAACGAGTACAATTGATAGAACTGATGTACGTACGTACGAAGTTCTACGTTGTTACTGACTGATGGAACTCATGCTATTTTAGATAATAAAAAGCTTTCATCAATGAGTTCATGATCTCATTCAAAAACGTTATAATCTTCACAACCCTATACTGATAATTACCATGTGCTCACTAGTGACTAGCTTCGTGTGGAAATTCTCGGAGTCCTAGTGAGAAGCCGTGACCAGTGGAGCTAATCCGTATCAGGTAGAGACAGGTATCTACTTCAGTTTAATGGAAGTTTTTAGTCGAGAAATTCCATGGATTGGTTGAGGTCAAACATTAACACCGTTAGATGCCGACCAGCTCAGTGGTCTAGAGGTTAGGCGTTCGCGCACGAGACTGAAGGCCCCGTGTTCGAATCCCCTGAGCGGGATTGTGGATGCTCATTGCTGAGGAGTCCCACAATAGGATGATTTATTCATTAAAGACAACTCTATAATTTTCTATATTTTTTCTTAATCACTAACATGATTCGATTAACTATTAGCTAACCAATTATATTTTCCATTATATTCCAATTTGATATTAAAAGGGATTTTATTTAATTGTCATGCTATAATTGCTATTTTGCTTTTCGCTTTCTCTAATTTTCGCTTTATTTAATTTAATGCAATCATTAATATAATATTTCCTCATTTCTTTCTCTATATATATCTACTCACATATGTATTATGTGATTGTGTAGAATAACAAAATGACTGATTATATAATTGATGAAATAGTCGATCAATTAATTACAGATGTAATCACTTCTGACACAAAATCACCTTCAATTACATCATGTGTATTTGAACTTATGCATGATATACATTCAACTGTTGTCAAATCACCATATACTACTTCTATTACTCCTAATGCCACGATCATCACCACTTCTGTTGTTCCTAATTCTACTGCTAAAATGGAACATGTTGCTAAGGTAAAAGTAAGAACTGTTTAGTGTTTGACTTTTGTCTTGTTCGTTTGTTCTGATTTACAAGGTTGTATCTTAGTTGTTTTTATGTTTATATTCCCTACTCCACTTCGGTTTAAACTGCCATTATGTTTATTGTGATATGATGGGAATGTCTAACAGTTAACCTTTTACTCAGTAAAGGATAAGTAACTTTAAAAATTGATCTCAAATCGTTCAGGTGCTTACATCGATAATTAGGTTTTATGAAAAGCCATCACTCGGCCATACTTCGTATCAGTGTATACCATCTATCGACCAGTATTATATCCTTTCATTTCAATAGTCATTCGTATAATTTATTATAACAAATAATTGGTCACGCTTGCAAAAGAATGGAGTACACTAATTTGTATTTGTTTATTGTACAAAATGGTCTCAGCATTTGATTTCTAACGCTTGTTATTACTAACATCCTAAACACATCATTCTCTTACACGTGATTAAGTCTACTCGGTATTATCGATGACCTGGTGCATAGCTGATAGTGTATTTTGCTTATTTCAATTCAGTATTATTAACGCTTTTGTTTAACCAATCAGTTAACCAAAACTAACATTATTACTTATAGTTTCTTGTTGTTTATATTCAACACTAACTTCATTATTGAGACCTAAATACTACTAATATTTACAAATTGATTGTAATTTGTATAGGAACGTTAGTATTAATATTCAAGAGTCGAGTTTCGTCCCTTTTGAAACTCATCAACTGTTAGTAGTGTATTATATCATTTCCATTTTGTATAACATTTATGTTGTGTTTATTGAGTATTATTTTACAAATACTGACAAGTCAATAAGTGATTTACGTTCATTTAATTAATTTGATAATGACTATCATCAAATTATTTCGATAATAATCAAGTTTGTTACGTAATACATAACACTTGTTCCTTGAAGTATCTTTTTTGTGTGTGCAATATTTGATCCACAACAACAATATTGCTTTCGATTAGCCCCTCATCAGGCTTTACTCTAATGTATTTATATGCGTATATGAAATTATTAAACCACTCCAGGTGGTTTATGAGTCAATGATGATAACAGTGGAATAGATTTCATAAATAATTGAAAAGTACAAATTGATAGTGTAATGACAAGTGTACTAGTTGTGGTAAGCAATAATAAAGGCTTGCATCAATGTTACATAATGGGAAATAGGTCAATGATTAGAAAAATATTTAGTCACTGAAATAACTACCTTGATTAATTTAATTAGTTCATATATGCATATAAATACATTACTGTATATTTGAGTAAAGCCTGGAGTACCTCCGGGGGCTACTGCCGGTCTCAAGCCCGGATAAATGAGGAGGGTTGGGCATGGGGTTAGCGACCCCATCTCGTAGAAAACTAATTCGCTAAAAAAAACACTGATGAGGATCTAGTCGAAAACAATATTGTTCGTTTACATATATATTGTTCTAAATATTTGATCCGTCTAATGAGATATTGATGTGTTTTCTATTACATTGAGAGTTGATCATTGTTTTCTATACCGTACATTTGAGAGCTTGTCATTTTAAATCAGTTTTACTCAATATAATGTTTATCGGTTGTTATTTCCTTTTAAATAATAAACCATCGACAAACACATCTTTCATGGATTACTACCATGAGTGTTAATATTTTCATTGTTGTTCCTCCTCGTTCACCAGTTCAGTCCATCTTACTCTTATGGAAATATGATCTATCGAAGTTATCATACATTTATATCAGTTCCTTTATTGTTTTTGATGAGATTTCTATTTTAATTGAGCTTAAGAAAAAACCCACACAATAGATCTTTAGTTTTAATCATAAGATATTTGATCTAATGATTTTAATCTTCAGAACATATTTCACTGTGTGAAGAGAAATAAACAGATGTTCTATACCTTATTCATAAACACTTTTATATTAATATCTGATTCATATTTCAGGCTAATAGTAATGTTAACAATCGTATTCGTGAAACAATTGTTCATCCTAAGAAACAGTTGACTCCATCAGAAACTATTGGGCATAAATCTCTTGTCGTCAATGATGGATTAAAAGATCCACTTTCATCATTGCCTTCAACAACTGATTTTCATGATAATAATAAATCGAAAATGGCTGTATCTCCAGTAAGTCAGCTTTTGTTCCTTAGAGTCATATAAAGGGTGGAATATGATCTTTCATTGTGAATGTGGATTATGTAATGTTTTGATTTTTTTTAGATGACTGATTTCGTTAATTTATATTGAACCATTTTTTTTATCGTCGTGTATAGACCTCAGCTGAGTAGCTATTTAAGAAATGTGGGTACTAGACAGTTATTTTAGTCTTGTTTGAGTTCTTCAACAGTGTATACCATCGGTCTCACAACATTATCACTCAAAACCGAAAGGTGTCACGATACTGTGTCAGTATCACATACTTTTTATTTCAGACTTCAGGCTATTTGCATTATCTTTGATAAATTTCATCAATGATTTTCTCATTCATTCTTAGTTTGCAGTATTTTCCTTTTCATGGCCGTTCAGTAGAGCTTCAAGAAATCTATCTGGAAGCCTTTCATTAATGAGCCCATAAATATTACTGAAGAAAGGGTTTTGTTACAAGTGTTCAGTTTACAGTCAGTCAGTAACAACGTAGAACTTCGTACGTGCGTACACCAGTTCGAGTTGCCACACCACATTAGCACAGAGATGCAGTTGTCGATCCAAATCCCGTAGTGGTAGAGGTAGCAAGAGTGTAAGCAATGATCGGGAAGATTAGGGTTCGGAGATGTTATTTAAAGAGTATAATTCAGTGAAACAAATTTGGAAAGAGGAAAAAAGGGACACGAAGAATTCAGAAGATTAGAATTTGGGAGAGCACAAAGAGTGGATGCACCTGCGCCATTGCAAACGATTTTGAGCCATATCATTCAGGGTCTCTAACCATCGGTTGCTATCATCTCGTGGTCCCCAACCAGGTAGTCTACACCTACCAACATGTTCAGTTTACGGTTAGTATTATAAAGGATTGATATTAATTGTAAATACTCTAGAGACTTGGGAGGGTTTGACAGGTGTCTCATCATAGTCTGTCTGTAAAATGGAGTCTTTAAAAATAGGAGGTATTCGTACGTTATTAGTATTTACCTGTAGACTCCCCACGTATGTTGGGGTCACTGAGTGGGCGATTTTGAGATTAGACACAAGATACTGAGTAAGGACTTAGATAGTGAGGACGTATATTACGTATGAACTGAGCCATGTAGAATTTTCAGACTATTTGTTTAGGGTCCGTGCAGTTATCGTAACTGACGACATGGGTTTAGAGTCTTCTTGCAATGTTGCAGATGCAGTTACTCTTTGTCTTCGCTTAGATCCTGAGTTTTAAAGCCCATACTTTTTAATTCCGTGAATTAATTCTTTCCATTCGATTCAGATTGTACATGCCTAATGTTCTCAACTATCATTAATACTTTTACTACGTCTACTACTGTGAAATTAGTCTTAGAGACTTCATCTCACTGTGTCGATAAAATGTGGCCGTTTGAATTTGTTCATTGCTTAACCAGTTGAAATATAAGTATGTGGGCGATAGATCTATCGATTACCACCAATTTTACCAGTACTCTGGATAACTGTACGTGACCCGATTCAATTGTCCCGTAATATCATTTGCGTCACATTTTTCTATCCTCTACTAATTGCTAATTTTAGACAATTAAACTGTTAATTTACGTGTATCAATAGTGAATTATCCATTTCATTCGTTATAGATGCCTAGTTTCATCTCACTGTTTGGAATTCATTTCATTTTATTATATTTCCAGTTCCTTCATCATATGAATGGCTTATTAATTGAAGGATTCGGCCTTTAATTGTTATTTTGTATGCTTAAAACGCACATCAAATACTTCACTTTATGTAGTGGAGTAGTATCACTAACTTTCCCGTGAACTGTATGACCGGAACCTATATTAAATATATATTATATTACACCATAAGGAAATAAATGTGAAATGTAGTTAAACATTTTACTATGATATGATAAGTAAAAGTATTGTTCTTATAGGAACTTACTCTTATTCGCTAATGATAGTTGATCTGTTTGTAAGAGTTATCCGCTAATACTACTGTGGTGTGTGCTACTGATGTCGACAGATATAAGTAGTGTGTAGTAGTAGTAGTAGCATCGAAAGTGAAATGTCTGGCGACAGAAGGTTAAGAAGGTCGGAGGAAAGAGAACGACAGCAGAGAATAATTGGTGTGGAAACAAAAGTACAATCGAGTCTGAGACAATTGATTGACCTTTTTCAAATGAAGTATTTATTGTATGGTTCTCAGGTTCTACTTGGTGATTCTGTAATTTTCTATTCAGTTACATTTGGTTGTCCCCTCTTATGTTCTCGTTCACTGTACTACTACTACCGTTGTGTGCGCTACTTATATTGACAGTCTCAGTTCACTTCAACATTACTGTATTGAACAAGAACACAAGTGAATACAATCGAACGTATTTGGAAACAAAATTACGAACTCTCCTAGTAAAATCTGAAAACCATGCAATAAATACTTCATTTGCGAAATGTCAATCCATTGTCTAAGACTCAATTGTTCTTGTGCTTTCATACCAATCACTCTCTGTTTGCGTCTTTTCCTCCTTGATCTTCTGCTTCCAGACATTATATTCCTGACTAGAGTTATATACTACTTATGTCTATAGAAGTAGCGCACATCACACTTCTAGGATAGATGACATCTCTGGTTGATACTTAACTAACTCACCTTGTAGAAAGTACAAGCTTAAATGTTAGTAAAATAAGTTTAGTCTTTAAAATATTCAATGTTTCCATCTTATTAATTCGGAACAATCATAAATCGCTAATTCAAATATCCATTTCTGGTAGAGACAGGTATCTACCTCAGTACAATGGAAGACGGTCGCGAAATTTCGTGGATTGATTGGTGCTAGACATTATCACCAATGGATGCCGTCTCAGTGGTCCAGTAGGTTAAGCGTTCGCGCGCGAGACCGAGGGCCCTGGGTTCGAATTCCGCAATCGGGATCGTGGATGCACACTGCTGAAGAGTCCCACAATAGGACAAAACGGCCATCCAGTGCTTCCAGGTTTCAAAAGGTGGTCATACATCAGTCGGTTCATGATTTCAATCAAAAAATCAAATGTTATCTATTTGTCTATTTATGTGTCAATAGTCAATTATTATCCATCAGTTAAGTCAGTCTGTCAGCTACAACGTAGGAACAGGCACATCTATGCATCGGTCCAAGTTGCCATACCTCATTAACACAACAAGATGGACACCGGATTCATGAAAGTAGTTAATTTAGAGGTGGTAATATATAAAAGAAAGATTGCAATATGGATACAGTACAGCAAGAAAGAATTAGTTCGTAGAAAGAAAGATTTGAAGCAATTTTAATCTCTTAGTTTAAGGGAAGACAGGGAGTGTATACACCGACGCCATTGTGATCGATTCTGAGCCATGTCACCAAGAGTCTCCAACCATTGGTCACGATAGTCACGCGGACCCCAACCAAGTAGTTTGCATCTACCAACATGCCTCAGACTAGAAGTTATTGACTTTCTTCCAACCATTCCCAACACTAGTCAGCAATGTGCATCGTGGTATACGTAACACGTGGTGCAACGATGTTAGTCGATGAAGATTCACAACCTCATCAACTGATTTACCATAATTCCCTAATACCCTGTGTCTATCCTCATTATTACTTGGTGATCCCAGCAGATGCGAACAATATTTCTACGACATCTGCGGTCAAATAATAGTAACTTACGAATATCTTCTACTCTTAATGGCCATGTTTCGCTGCCGTAAATTAAAACGGAACGGACTGCCGCGCAGTTAAACAAATGAATGATTACATAATAGTAGTAGATATTTGAATAGATTGATTACACACATACTACTGAATCAACAAAATTGACACATTTCAATTTTATGTCGAAATAGATTATTGTTTTAAATAACCACTTTTTCTGTTTATTTTGGATATATTTTGCTTAAGTAGATTTTTTAAAAATAAAAACTTTAATCATTATCCATATACAAATTGTTCAACTATTCAGTTAGTGTTTCAATATATTATGTATTTTTGTGTTGATACAAACCAAAAGTGTTTCTTAGTTACTACTGATGTATGGCAACAAATATTGTATCATTCATCAGGTATTTGATTGTGAGCCATACATTAAGTGTAATTACTAATGAAACTAATCAATTGTCCAAACTCAAATAGGTGGGACGAATCTCGAACCTGAGGATGGGACTTAATTGCTGATTTTTATTTATTTTAAAATTTATTTAAACACATAAATATTGGTACATGAAAGTACCAAATACATGCATAAGTCGAATGATATCTGTGAGCGCTGTGATACTGCCAGGGCGCCAAAACCGAAGCAGGTGGTTTACGTATAGAGCCACTCCCCGAGCATTCGACTTAGACGTCAATTCCATTAAGCAGTAGGGCAACGTTAGGAGATGAAGTCCCATGGTAGCCGATGACCAACATTAGTTTTATACGCCATTTGTTCCCTCATGATTCTGGTGCTTATATGCAACATTGGCTTGTAATCAGGGTTTTCCAACTTTCCTCTGTAGATCTTCTATATCCATTAACACGGTTAAATCACCAGACATTCGCTTTTTGTGCTGTAAACTTCTTAAAGAACACCTGTGGTACGACCTCCATAGTTATGGCTATATACACATGACCACCCTCAGTCATAACAGGTCATTCAGGGGCCAGCAGGTGAAAGTTGAACGCCTTAACCACTAAACACCGCTCCACTATAGGTATATTAAATATGATTATAGGGTGAAAACTTATTTACTGTCATGATCAGGCCGACACAAAAGAAAGGAGGATATTTGCAAAATAAGGATACGCTATTTGAAGACACGTTGTTCATTAGTCCTCATACCTAAAACATGATTTATATTTTGGAGCTGTGTAAATACTTTGATTCTGTGTAAACTGGTATCGATCCAATTAGTGTCCAATTTAAAAGTTATCATGAGACAAAGTATTGGTGTGTCAGTTCGATCGTTTCCGGATAATTTTTCATATTAGTTCTACTAGATAGCCTCATATTATTGTCTTGCGTGTTCTAGCAGATATTTTGGTGGATATCCAATGACGGCATTCTTTTGCCCCCATGTCGAACAGACGACAATCGATGGAATATACACAAATCTTTGCTCGTTGCAACATCTTTTACCTCCCTTATTTTCAACATTCATAATTTGATACCGTCATACTATTGAAATTATTTCATGTACTGGATTATTATGGTTTAACTCTATCTTAATTTGTTATCTTTATTATTCTTTGGTGTTTACAAAATCATATGTAGTTGTCTCGCTTCTTAGGATGCAGGGTAAATAATCAATTTGTGTTTGATAGTCTACATAGCAGATTAATTTTAGTTAGAAGCCTTAACTAGTAAGGTTCAACCATCTTAAATGTGAGGTAGAATTAACTGACGTCAGACATGTGAACCATTAGTTTCCAGCTGTGTTCCAAAGATTAGTCTTTCGCAACGGAAGTTGAATGTTCCGGGCCCCATCTCTGTTGAGGTCATGGGTCGGTACAACTGATGAGTCGCATACTAGGGTGAGACAATTGTTTGATACTTTTTGGTTGTTTAATAGTTGTTTAATTAAAATCAATTCGTGGTGTTAATTATAAAATTCAATTGTGTCATAATACTGAAAATTCTGTCTTAGTATATTACGATACAATGTCTTGGGTTTATGTCCTTGTTTTAATTACATCATGTTGGCTGTCTTGTACTTATTTATTTATTTATTATGAATTTCAGCTTAAACGTCAAAATAGCGCTTATCGTACAAGAACACGAACGCGTAGATTTGTTATTGATGGTCAAATGATTACAACAACATCGAAACGCATTGTGAACACTAATTTAGAAGATAAAAGGTTCTGTGAAGACGAACAGTGAGTCATCGTTTTGATTATTATTATTGTGAAAAATGTCAAATTCTATCCCCTCATCATCTATGAAATATTTATCTGTCAATTAGTGATAATTTACAAGTGCTAACGTTGCTGTATCAGCTGGTCAATATTGGCGAGACTATAGTTTATGGACAAGCCAATCAGGTATAGGATTTTGGCGCGAAGTTCAATCATTCATTTGGTTAAATAGAGTTTTGGCATTCTAGCCCATGTCAGTTCGTGATGAAAACTTAAGTCTAATTCCTAACCCTAACCATCAACTGTAAATCATAGTTCTAATTCCTCACATTTGTTTCTAAACTTCACTTGGTCCTAGTTATTAGGTGACAGTTTCAAGGTCAGCTTAGCATCTCTCAAATGTCATCCCTAAAATATAATCTCACCATTTTATCTCTTGAGTGAATTGTTCTTGAGACTAAAGTTTTGTAATCATAAACAAGACAAATATATCGTCGGTTAGATATTTTTTATTCATTTAATAAATGAATTCATGAGTCAATTGAAGCTAGACTACCATAGAAAAACTGGAAGCACTGGATGATCGTTTCGTCCTAGTTTGGGACTCCTCAACAGTGCGCGTCCATGATTTTCCCCCACGAGATTCTAACCCAGGACCTCTCGGCCTCGCACGTGAACGTTTAACCTCTAGACCACTGAGGCGGTCGGCATCCAACCTTCATTTGGCCCTGGTTATTTGGCGGGCACTCAAGGTCAGTTTAGCGTCGCTCAAAGGTCTTTCATAAATTGTAGTCTCACCGTCAATATGATTAACATGAACAATTTAACACAAATCTTAAAAAAATAAACATATATCTGATAAATTTTAGGATAAACAAAATTTCGGTAAAGAGAGAACTAATACAAATTTCAGAAATTAACAAATAACAATTGAAACACTGTTAGAATATAAATCAATATGAACCTTTTTTTCCTAATATGAAGATATATTATTTCCTATTGAAGTCTGTACGACGTTCAGGATAATTTATTGAGGATATTAGATGTTTTCGGCCTAAAATTCACAACACTGACTCAAATTTACTCAATTTACTGTTCTAATAAACTTCTATAAACTTGATACTAACCTATTTTTGTTCATTTTCTTATCACTTTGTAACAGTTGAATTCTTCTTGTCTGGTGAAAACATGAAGTAATATATGTATTCGGTTGTAAATATATACCTATTAAGTCATTAGAAGAAAAAACTTATTTATCAAAGGAATCCATTTATAAGAGTTCATTTTAAAGCTGTACAATTTTATATAAATATGAAAATCCTGCTTCGATTAGGGTGCACAGAGAGTATTCCAGCTTTCACGCTTATCGAATAATTTGTGTGGGGCATATGTATTTGGTGTCTCCTTGTACCAATGTTTATATATATATATATATATATATATATATATATATATATATATATATATATATATATGGATAACCCAAACTTGCACAATTCAAAGTACTTTAAGAAATACATTTCTCAGTGTTTTTGACTTGATTGTATAAAGGATCTAAATGTCTTTTGTTTGCTGCGTGTTAAAGAATCGGTGACGTGTTTCACTTATTTCGGCATTAGGTAAACTACTCAGGTAGATCCTCCTGAATGTGATTAAGATATGGCCTTGATAAATGATTACAAGTACAGGTGAACTAGAATTGAATTAATCAATTTTGGCAGCTTATTATTCTACTTATTTGTTATTCTCCCATATTACCTGGGTGTCAAATGTCAAATAATTTACCTTCTTTTTAAATCAATCCCACATTTTTATGTGGGTGGGTGGGGGAGCTGGTATCTAAGTCCTTTTGTTGTACTATTAAAAATCATATACCTTAATCACTCAGTTACCACTTTGAAATTACTTTCTAAGATTAAATAAGAAATTTTATTCGACTAATTTTCTACTTTCTCTTTTTCTAAACAAAAAATAAAATTTCTATTAGAATTAAACGTAAAGCTGCTTTACGTGCATTCAGAATATTAGCCAAACAAGAAGCACATCAAACACGTGAACTGAATGAACGTGCACAACAACAAATTGATATATTAGAGAATAAAATGAATACAGAATTTTCAGTAGGTCTTTTTTTGGATTGTTAAGGGTATATATTCATGCTTTTTTCCTTTCCCCTCTTGTTGTTGTTTTATAGAGATCATTTCAATATTTGAAGATTTTCATACTCAACGAGGTTGTATAATGCAAATATTGACAAATTTGTGTCTAGTGTAATTATTCACGTGTTTAAAATGATACTCTTTATGAATCGAATTCAGTTCGTATAAAGTTAAACCAATGGTTGTTGGGTATTTGTGTTTTTTATAAGCACTTTAATTATTTGAAATATAACTAGCTATATAGTCCAAGACTGATATTTCTTATTGCTTGGCACATATCACCTACATATACATGAATCACTATGTTGATATCCATGCTGAAATTTCATTCCAATATCCATTATTTCGAATCCCAACTCATTATTTATTAAACTAATGAATTTAAATAATCACAATCTTCTTCAGTGAGTATAAAGGCGTTAGCCAGTGGTTTTCAGTTTTCCCTCATTGTTAATATAGTTTGCATTAGATCGGTTCTACTGTTAATCATAATTTAGATATTAACGTAATCTTGGAATTAAAAAAGGCTTTGTTAGGGCAACTTGCTCAAAAAGTTTTTTTATGCTAACAGTGACTCATCAATTGACATTGTGAATAGGCACTTATAAACCTCTCTTTGTACTGTTCGATGTATCTCTAATGTAACTATTTCCCCTTTTCATTGAATCTAGATATTCGCCTTATATCTTTTATATCAGATGGGTTTTGTGGATATTATAGTAATTTCCATGGTTAAGATCATGACTCGGTTGAAGCTAGACCACCATGGAAAACATAGAAGCATTGGACGGCCGCTTCGTCCTACTGTGGGACTCCTCAGCAGTGCGCATCCACGACCTCGCCCCCTGCGACATTCGAACCCAGGTTTCGCGCGCGAGCACTTAACCACTAGACCACTGAGCTGGCGTCCAGAGGTGTTAATATCTAACTTCAACTAATCCACGAAATTGAGCGACACACCCACCATTGTCTTCAGTGAGTTACTATCTCACAACAGACCTGGTTGGACTCCACTGGTCACTACTTCTCACTAGAACTGCAGGATATACCTCATGAAGCCAATCACTAGTGAGCATATGTTGAGTAATATCGGTAGGTCCTGCGTTCGAATCTCGCAGGGGGCGAGGTCGTGGATGCTCACTGCTGAGGAGTCCCACAGTAGGGCGAAACGGCCGTCCAGTGCTTCCAGGTTTTCCATGGTGATCTAGCTTCAACTGACGCATGATCTTAACCATTGAAATTATATGTTTTATATCTAACCAAATAAACTTCTGAACTTAACATTTCTCGAGTAACCAGGATAGTTCGTTTGTTTTGTTTTGGTTTTGTAAAACCTGTCGTCCTCTTTTTTTAAAATTTGAACTCGTCTTGACATGAAAAAATTTACCCATTTTTTTGTCTAGTTATATTCTAGTCAGTTACGTAATTGGTCCGATTATATTGTAATTCATATCACTTGTTACATCTTTTTGTTGTTGTTGTTGCAAATGTGATTGTCTTGTACTGACTTGATTAGTTGAATAAAAAACAAACAAAACAAGATATGATATTTTGTCACAATCTTAAAAAAAGGTCGAGGTCGCGTTACACTCGATCCACAATGCATAAACTCTTACCCTTTCATTAACTAACTTATCCAATTTTCCTCTACCCATTGTTTTTTTTTGTTTCTTTCCTAATTCAGTTTATTGTGTGCATGACCCTATTGATTATGTAACTGACTGAGTTGTGATCATTGTGTTGCAACATATTACATAGACTGGAAATAGCTTAAAATGGATAAGAAATGTATGATATAGATTAGTTAGTGAGGTTGAAATGAATACTTGAAACAGAAGTGAAAATTATATTTAAGAAAAAAAAATGGAACAGGATATAAACTTGCCAAAGATTAACGTGGTATTTACTTTTTGAAAGAGAAAACAGTGAAATTACAGTCATGAGTCAGTTGAAACCACACCACCATGGAAAACCTCGAAGTACTGGACGGCCATTTCGTCCTAGCATAGGACTCTTCAACAGTGCGCATCCACGATCCCGCCTCGTGAGACCCGAACCTAGGACTTATCAGTCTTGCGCGTGAGCGCCTAACCACTTTGTCACTAATCTGGTATCCAACGTTGTTAATGTCTAACTTCAACTAATCCATGAAATCAAGCGACATATCCACCATTGTCTTCAGTGAGTTACTATCTCACAACTGACCTGGTTGAACTCCACTGGTCGCTAGAAAATTATAATTGCCATTGATCATTATAAAATAAAAGATTACATCATTGTAATGGCCAATATTTTTATAGTTAACTTAGGAAAAGCAGAATGAAAATATGAAACACAGAATAAAAAAATATTTCCCCAAGTATGTTGATGATATCTTTATTATTTGTGATAATATGCATCATACTTCTTATATCCTCTATTGCTTCAAACGTTGCTAATAACTTGACACGGTGGTCGGGCTTGCCTATATTCGTGAACCATCGAAAGAAAGAGGATGGGAGAGAGTGGACAGCCTTGTTTGACTCCGGTCCCTACTTGGAATGCGTTTGTCAGCTGTCCTCCATGCAGGACCTTACACTGTAGTCCGTCGCGTGAGTTTCGGATAATGTTGACAATCTTCTCAGGAACTCTGTAGTGTCGAAGAAGTTTCCATAACGGCCTCCCATCTACACTGTAAAATGCCTTTTCATAATCAATAAAGTTGATGTACAGTGACGAGTTCCACTCAATTGATTGTTCGACGATGATCCGTAGTGTCGCAATTCGGTCAGTGAACGACCGATCCTTACGGAATCCAGCTTGCTGATCTCGAAGTTGGGCGTCTACTGCATCCTTCATCCGGTTCAGCAACATTCTGTTAGAGACCTTTCCTGGTACTGACAGTAGTGTGATTCCCCTGTTGTTTTCACATTTGCTCAGGTCTCCTTTCTTTGGAATCTTGATGAGATGTTCTTCTTTCCAGTCCATCCGCACTTGTTCCTCCTAAAAATCTTTTTGAATAGAAGGTGAAGCATGTTTGTGGTTACTTCGATGTCTGACTTCAGTGCTTCAGCTGGTATATTGTCGGGACCTACTGCTTTCCCGCTCTTGATTTATCTGACGGCCATTCTGATTTCTCTCTTCCTTGATGGTTTGACGTCTATGGGATGATCTGTGTGTGCTGCTTCAATGTTCTATGGATTTGTTGGAGCCAGCCTATTCAGGAATTTCTAGAAATACTCTAACCATCTGTTCCGCTGTTGTAGAATTTTAGTGATTGGCTTGCCTTCTTTTTCTTTGACCGGTCACTCTGGTTTACTGTATTTCCCTGCTAGTTTCTTCGTTGTATCGTAAAGCTGTTTCATATTTCCTTCTCTTGCAGCTTTTTCAGCCGTCGTTGCTAGTTCTTCCACGTATTTCTTCTTGTCGGCTCTAGTGCTCCTCTTCACTTGTTTGTTTGCTTCTATGTATTCAGCTTGTGCTTGAACTTTCTCTGCTCGTGTTTGGCTGTTGTTTATTGCTGCCTTCTTATTCTTCCTTTCTTTGATCTTGTCCAGTGTTTCTGTAGAGATCCATTCCTTATGATGGTATTTCTTTAGACCCAGAACCTCTTGACACGTTGAAGTTAATGCTTCCTTGATGCCTTTCCAGTTGTCCACCATACTAGTTTTTTCTTCTTTCAGTAGATCTTGTAAGGCTTGCAACCTGTTGTTGAGAGCTATCTTGAATTCATTGAGTTTGTCAGTATCTCGAAGGAAGGCTGTGTTGAACCTTTGTAGTGCTGTTTGTCCACTTGTCCAGTTCTTTTTTAGCTTCAGTTTTAAATTGGCCACAACTAGGTGGTGATCTGAAGCTACGTCAGCGTCTCTCCTGGTTCTCACATCCTCCATTGTCCTTCGGAATTTTTTGTTGATGCAAATATGATCTCTATGATTGATTGAAGCCGCTCGTAGAATTGATCTTTAATGTCGTTGCTATCCATTGGTGGGTGCACGACATTGGATAATATTCATTGTGATCCCCTCCTTCTTTGTTTTGAATGATGCTTTGATGATTCTGGATCCGTGAGATTCCCATCCTACAAGTGCATTTCGTGCTACTTTGGACAGCATTAAAGCAACTGCTTGAGTGTGTGAAGCATTTTCCTCTTCGTGACCGGAATATGGCAGCATCTCTCCCATATTTAGCCTTTGTTGTCCAATCGCTTCCAATATGTTTCACTGATCCCAAGCACCTCTAGGTTGTATCTCCGCATTTCTGCAGCAATTTGGAAGACTCCCGGTCTCCCACATAGCACGAGTGTTCGATGTACCTAAATAAATGGTTGCTCTGGTTGTCAGAAGGGGCATCGGCGTCGTGGCTTTCGAAGAATTTATTATTATTTATTTATTTCAACACATAGATAATGGTACAAAGAGGCACCAAATACATATGCGCCACACAAATCTCATTCGATATGTGTGAGGGCTGTGATACTGCCCGGGTGCTCAAACCGAAGCAGGTGGTTTTCTTAGGGGGCCACACCCCGAGCCTTCGACCTGAAGGTCTGATCCACAAGGCAGTGGAGCATCGTGAGGAGATGCAGTCCCATGGTAGCCGGTGACCAACAATTGGTTCATTCGCCATTTGTTCCCGCAGGATACTGGAGCCCATGTGTACCATTGGTTTGGAATCCGGTTAAAGCGCCGGACATTCGCTTTTCGTCCTCTCATTTTCGTAAACAACACCCCCGCCACGAGAAGGCAGTGAGTAGGACTTCCCTGGCAGAGGCTATATGCTCGTGGCCGTGTGAGAGTATTTCGAGAGGGAGAGCGGGCTCTCCCCACTCTCGGCCGTACCAGGGCATTTGGGGGCGGCTTTCGAAGAAACTCGGCTTTCACCATGAGGCATCATAGTTCTTCTGAATGAAGACCTTCTAACTCTCAGGGCAGAGTTTAAATGATTTGAATTATCTTTTTTGGTTAGCGTTTTTGTAGCGAGTTAGTTTTCTACGGGATGGTATCGCTAACCGCATATCCAACCCTCCTCCATTATCCGGGCTTGGGACTGGCAGTAACTCTAGAAGAGCTACAGGCGGAGTTAACAACAAAAAATGCAGCAACTAAACTTACATATGAAAAGATACTAGATAAGAAAACAGTTCCATCAGTAGAAGTATGTATAGAAATACTTTTTTCTCTCTCATCAATTTTATATCTATCAAACTGTCTTTGTTTGTTTTTCTTTATCATTTCAGGTTGTTGTTGTATATTGTTTATTTATTTATTTATACAACTGATGAAAAGACTTGAAACTGAATGAATTCTTTCTTCTTCTTTTATTATTATTATTATTCTATAAAATGTTTGTCTTTTTTCTTTTATTTTTTTAAAAATTTAAATAATCATGTTTTTGTATAGGAGTTATAATTTATTGGAATCAATAAAATAAAATACAATCTCATCATTTACTGTCATTTAATTTTGTAATTCGAAGGCCCGACTAGCTTTTGCCAATTCGCGTCAGCAAGATATCCGTCTACCAACTGAAGGACAGGTTTTCTGCACAGCAGTTCGTTCCGTCCTACTTTATAGCAGTGAAACATGCTCGGTAAGAGTGCAGGGAATTCGTAGGTTACTAGTATTCGATCATAGGTGTCTTCGAAACATTGCTCGTATATCCTGGGACCAATGAGTAAGTGATTTGGTTGTTCGGAAACGGGTATTTTGTGAGAATGGCAAATGAATTGGTGAAGTAGTGAAACCTCATGAGATGGCTGGGACATGTGTTACGTATGCCCAACCACCAACTGTCCGGACTTGTGATGTTCTATGGTGTAGGAGTAGGATGGAAGAGAGCTGTGGGGGTGGGCAGACGAAAACATGTCAGGAATCCATGAAGTGACTGACAAGTGGAGTGAGTGATGTCGGTAGGTGTAGACTATCTGGTTGGGATCCGCGAGATGATAGCAACCGATGGTTAGAGACGTTGAATGACATGGCTGAAAATGGTTTGCAATGGCGCAGGTGCATCCACTCTTTGTGTTCTCTGAAATTCTAATCTTCTGAATTCTTCATGTCCCTGTTAATTTTCTGTTTCGAAATTGATTTCACTGGATTATGCTCCTTGAATAACATCTTCAAACTCCATTGTTTCAAGTTACTGCTTATAGGTTTAGTGCCTCTACCATTATGGGATTTGAATCGACAATTGTGTGTGTGTGTGTGTGTGGTAATGTGGTATGGCAACTCGAACTGATGTAATTACGTACGAAGTTCTACGTTTCTACTGACTGACTATATGGTCATTAAAAAATAATTTCAATGAAACTTGTCATGAACTTACGTAGTGATTTAGTTAATCGTTAAAATGAGTGTACTCAATAGGATACACCGAAATTTTTTTGATCAAGAATTGAAACTATGTTGAAAGTTGGAGATAAGATCAATAAATTGATATTCAATAATGTACACTTTTAACTTCAATTAATTTACGATATTAATGTATTCATCATAACTGTAAAATTATTGATGATTGTTATCATTTAAGAATTACCTGATTTTTAAGATAATTTTATTGTTGTAGACTTATATTATCTAAAGTAATAACTGATTAATAGACTTCATTTGTGTTTTGGTATTTCTTGATATTGTATACTTGAAATATCACATTAGATTGAAATGGAATAGTATACTATTCATACATTAAATTTTGAATCGGATGATGTATTTTATTCAGTTTTCAAAGAATTTGTCTAAAGCATTTTATCATCTTCTTGTATGAAATCAGTCAGTCACTCAGTCAGTATCAACGTAGAACTTCGTACGTACGTACATCAGTTCGAGTTGCCACACCACATTAGCACAGAGATGCAGTGGTCGATTCAAATCCCGTAGTGGTAGAGGTAATATGAGTATAAGCAGTAATCGGGAAGATTAGTGTTTGGAGATGTTATTTAAAAAGTATAATACAGTGAAATACAATGAAATATTCTATTCTAACTCTTGGAACACGAATATTATTGGGTTGTGTTTTTAAGTGACACTTTATTGATTTTTTTGTGTGTGGTTATTTTTATTGTTTCATGAATTTTGTATTTCTCATTGTTTTAGTTTGACCATTTTTCTTGTCATTAAATTATTTTGCTGAGTTGATGATAGTGCTCAGATGATATAAATTAAGGGGGTTATTGTACAGCAATTCAGTTTGAGGACTGTAGAGTTCACATCTTTTATCTCATATCCAGCTGAATGCAAATAGTTTACATTTTTGTTTTGTAAAAAATTTCTTTCAGATCAAAATTCAATATTCCGAACTTTAGCCTATTCGTGGTATATAATACAATAATTATTTTCAAGCTAATGTTAGTTCTGTCTTAGTCGTCTATATAAATCATCAATTTTATCTGAGAATTTTAGAGAAACTTGAAGAAGACTCATTTTATAACGAAAAGACTATTTCTTACAACCTATTACATCAATTCTGTAACCATCAAACGATGCGAATTATGTTGCATTTACTAGTATAGGGGTTATGGAGATTATTAAGTTTTTGATTGAGATCATGAACCGATTGATGTTAGACAATCTTTGGAAACCTGGAAGCACTGGATGACCGTTTCGTCCTATCGCGGGACTCCTCAGCAGTGCGCATCCACGATCCCGCTCAAGGGATTCGAACCCGGCGCCTTCGATCTCGCGCTCAAACGCTCAACCTACTGGACCATTGGATGCCGGCTCAGTGGTCCAGTAGGCTAAGCGTTCGCGCGCGAGACCGAAGGCCCTGAGTTCGAGTCCCGCGAGCGGGTTCATGTATGTTTTATTTCTCCAAGCTTTTGATCTACATTTCGCTCATTCATACACCACATATAATTTTCTGAGTAGCATGTGTATGTGAGTCGAGTTAATTAAATTGTGTATTTTAAAGTTGATATTTAACGACAGTATTTGAAATAGAATATCATATGGCAATTCAAAACAGATATGACTGTAATGGCGAGACTATAATTTATGAACCAACCAACCACGTGTAAGATAACAGGTCTTTGATTTTGGCACGAAGTTCACTCATCCATTTGGGTAAATAGAGTTTTGGCATTATAACTCATGCCAGTTCGTGATGAAGACCTTAAGTCTAGTTCCTAACCTTAACCATCAACTGTAAATCATAATTCAAATTCCTCACACTAATTAATAACATTCATTTGGTCCTAGTTATCAGGTGGACACTCTCAAGGTCGCTCAAATGTCATCCTTAAATTATAGTCTCATCCAACTAGTTATATAAGATATTATAATTGTTCATTATGAGTATATCATCAAAATTAAAAATCAAGTAAATTTTGTTATCTTTCAACTTGAACTATCTATAGCCGTCTTTGTAGTGTAAAGTGTTTTTTTTTAATGGTCGTAACGACCAAATCATCCAGCTCAGAGTACAACACTCCATCAAAATCATCCACCTGAGCTAAAAATCTTCTCCATCATCTCAACTGTAAAATGCTTCACACTATTTCCTGTATGTACAAAAATTTAGATACAGAGAAGTTGAAGATATAATCTTAATTGCATTGAATATCTGTTGTCGATCAATGGGATTTGATTGAAATGTGAACTGTTCAAATACTTTTATGAAGCCAGGAGATAATGATCACTATGATGTGACAATGGTTTGTTAATAGGGATCTAACTTTTTGATAAAGCGAATTTATCAGTCAGTTACTTACGCCTGTTACTCCCAGTGAAGCATAGACAGCAGATCAACATTCTCCAACGCACTCTGTCCTGGGCCTTCCTTTCTAGTTCTATACAGTTGTTTTTCATTCTTCTCATGTATGTCTCCATTACTCGAAGTAATGTGTTCTTTGGTCTTCCTGTTCTCCTTTGGTCTTAAGGATTCCATGTTAGTGCTTACCTTGTGAAATAGTTGGGTGCTTTCCTCAATGTATGTCCTATCCAATTTCATCGCTTCTTCCTCTGAAATGTTTCGGCAACATGTGCAATAAGTAGGTGTAGTTTGATTGTCGTATAAGCAAGGAGTAACATTTCTTGACACGGTAATAGCTTTATCGATGCATCTGATTTAGAGATTTTTGAAAGCTAATCACAATTGATTCATATAATTTCTATTACCCCCAAACTAAGTATACAGGGCTTCCGATTCCTTATAGTAATATTTATACTGCAACTTGATCTATGAAGTCCGGTGACTACTGAAAACTAGGTAATCATGAAGTGATAAATTAGCATAGTGTTTGTTAAAAGATATATTCTCAGTAAGAAACCAAACAAGAGAGGTGTCTTTCATTTGAAAGGTTTCATTTTATGTTTATATAGAACTATGTAGAGAATCTATAACAAAACCGTCATTGACTTCTAATCGAAGCCATTTACGACAAAGTCCTCATACTACTGTACAACTTCAACTAGGAAGTCTTGATGGACTAGGAATTCTCAATTGTTTCTTCTATACCGTGTAGTCATATCACCACCTTACACACAAAAACTTCAGAATTCACATTAAATGTTTATGAAATATTGAACTATTTTTCATTGAATTTTATTATTTTTATTCTATGTATAGACATTGACAAAAACCTATGATCATAAAATGGAAATTGTTATACGTAATTATAAATTACAAATGGAACGATTAGATAAAGAATTTGAAGTGGAAATGAAACGTATTCGATCAGAAACTGTAAGTTTACATTTGATAGTTTGTAATAAAAAAATAGTTGAAGTTAGACGTTAACACCGTTGGATGCCGCCTCAATGGTCTAGGGGTTAAGCACTCGCGCGCGAGACTGATAGGCCCTGGGTTCGAACCTTGCGGGGGGGGGCAAGATCGTGGATGCGCACTGCTAAGGAGTCCCACAATAGAACGAAACGGCCGTTCAGTGCTTCCAGGTTTCCAACGGTGGTCTAGCTTCAATTGACTCGTGATTTCAACTATTGAAATTACTATAATATCCACAAAACCCCTTCTGATAAAAAAATTGTTAAAATTGAATATTTAAAAAAGTGCTAAGGAGGATAACTTATAGCTTCAGGATCGTATCCATTAGCCTGTGGTGGTCGAATAATTCATTTCCATCTTAATACAAATACATATTTAATGCGTTATTAATAGAGATGATAACAAATCCAATAAATCATCATATACTTATCTTTTATCCCTACAAATACTCATGGTTTGTAATAAGAATTAAATACTTCGTAGTTCTTTATACCATGATTTTTTAATCCTTAGTTACGACCTAGTTTGCCAACTTGCGTCACTTATGACGCCAGCAAGATATCCGTCTACCAACTTCAGGACGGGTTTTCTGCGCAGCAGTTCGTTCCGTCCTACTTTATGGCAGTGAAACATGGCCGGTAAGAGTACAGGATATACGTAGGTTACTAGTATTCGATCATAGGTGTCTTTGAAACATTGCTCGTATATCCTGGGACCACCGAGTAATCAATATAGTTGTTCGGAAACGGGTATTATGTGAGAATGGCAAATGAATTGGTGAATTAGTGAAACCTCATGAGATGGCTGGGACATGTGTTACGTATGCTCAACCACAGACTGCTCGGATTTGTGATGTTCCATGGTGTAGGAGTAGGTTGGAAGAAAGCTGTGGGGGTGGGCAGACGAAAACATATCAGGAATTCATGAAGTGACTGACAAGTGGAGTGAGTGATATTGGTAGGTGTAGACTATCTGGTTGGGATCCGCGAGATGATAGCAACCGATGGTTAGAGACGTTGAATGACATGGCTGACAATGGTTTACAATGGCGCAGGTGCATCCACTCTCTGTTTCCCTTCAGGATTCCAAGTTAGCGCTTGCCTCGTGGTTCAATTCGGCGATTTCCGCAATGTATATTCTATCTACTTTCAGCACCTTTTCCTATTTTCCTCTTAATCTGGATTCTGGTTTGTTCTCTCCTATAGTAGGCTGTTACTAATGCTTTCTGGCCAACGGATATTGAGTATCATACGTAGACAATTGTTTATAAATACGTGTACGTTTTGATGATGGTTGTAATAGTTCTGGAAGTTTTTGGTTTGTCATGATGTTCGTGTTGAAGATTGTGACTTTGATATTGATTGACAGACAGTTTTTTTGAGTTCCATATATTCTTCAACTGTATGAATACTGTCCTTGTTTTGCTAATCCTTGCCTTTATGTTCGCATCAGATTCTCCTTGTTGATCGATGATGCTGTCCATATACGTGTAAGATTTAACTTGTTCCAGAGTTTCTCCATCAAATGTGATTGAGTTGATGTTCTTCGTGTTTTGCCTTTTCTTTTATGTATGTTGAGACTTACGGATACAGAGTCTGTTACTACACTTGTATACCTTAATGAAATTCAGTTTCTTTTTTAATTGTATTAATGTTTTCTTATATTATTTTATTTGATTTATTCTAGTCTAAAGAAGAGCGTACATTTAAAGATCGTTTAAAAAGTGAAATTGATACATATGATCGTGCAATGCGTAAAGCTGCTAAACGTGATCTTAATAAATTTGATCAAATTCAATCATCTAATTATGATATAAAATCAAATTCATCATTAACTTCATTAAAATCAAATCATTCCATTAATAATAATAATAATAATAACAATAATCATTCACTTGTTTCTCAACGTTTAACATTGTTTCGTGAAAATCAAGAATCACGTATGAATAGTCGTATTTATGATTTACATAATGAATATAATAAACGTCGAAATTTAATCCATTCAGAATATTTAAATGAAATTCATACATTAAGATTAAGTAAGTATTTTTTTTTAAAAGTAAACAAATGTATATATACTTTAATTAGAGGGAACTTGTTACTAAGCCTTACTGGTGGTCACATTGTAATTTTATCATTGAATTCATGAGTCAATTGAAGCTAAGACCACCATTGGAAATCTGGAAGTACTGGATGGTCAACTCGTCCTAGTATGGGACTCCTCAGCAATGGGCATCTAAGATCCTACCCCGCGAGATTCGAACCCAGGACCTATCGATCTCGCACGCGAACGATTAACCTGTAGACCACTGAGCCGACCGGCGGTCATCCAACGGTGTTAATATCTAACAGACCTGGTTGAACTCCACTGGTCATAGCTTCTCACTAGAATTCCATTGTAATTTGATCAGGGTTTAGAACTAGACAAACATAATACTAACCACCACTCAGTGATCAGTTAATATAAATATCTAAGGTATAAATGTGGAAAATCTTCAGTTCAGTAATTTAATGATAACGTCTCAGAATTTATATTTGGGTAAATATCAATCGAATCTATTAAAGATTATCAGTTGCCCAAGAGATTTGATGTACACTTTGCTAATGAGTGGCACTTAACTTAAATCAGGCAGAATTTTCTAGCAACTACCTTCAACCACACAATAACAGTCTTTGAATCAGTTAAATGCTGATCAGCTTAGAGACAACCACTAAACGACCTTTCAGCTCATCCTGTTTAAAAAGTAAGTAATAAAACTATATTATACTTTCAGACATTAAAAAAGGTACTATTCTATACTACTCAGTATTATCCTACAGAATATGATAAACACTGAGGACTGGTTGATGTGATATTTAATTACAAGTCAATCAACAATTAATTTCAATTTTATTGTCTGTTATTGAAAATAATTGATTGGGTACCAGATTAACATACATATAGAGAAAATGTAAACGTTATATGGATAATCAATCTGTAAGCCTATGAACTACGCATTATCCAGTTTCATTTTGAAGGGATATATATATATACATATGTTGATATCAATCAAAAGCCATGTCACCTAAAGTTTCCAGCTAGAAGCTACGTTTTTCTGACGGGCTTTAACCGAAAGGTTTCCGCATCTTGATACAGCTCAATCCAATAGCTATTGACTTCATGAATTAATTCCATCTCTGGGCGCGACATATTCACATGTGGAATCGAGGTCTATTTTTCGGATTCATAATATTATGTTTATACAACCATTAATGATGATAGCATACCAGAGAAATAAAATCTTACAGGCATTGAACAGAACGTTTTTAAAAGGTGATCTAGATACTTCAGGGTTTTGAAAAGAACAAATAAAGAATCCTTTATTCCTAATCATACTGGCACATTAAAGTGGGACAGTATACCGACTAACCATTCAATATATGTTTAACGTTGATATTCTTCAGATGTTTTGTAGATAATATTACTTCACCGTGTTCAACTTTTATCATGTTCCCTATTTTAATGCACCATACCTTTTCATTTTTCAATTCCTTTTAATAACACAACGATCTGCCTCACAAACAATCAATTGTAAAGATTTTGAAGAAGATAAATGGAGAACGGAACATCGTTTTTTATCTATGAAACATCAATTGGATAGAAATCGTCAACTAGACTTATTTATGATTAAACGTGAACAATTAACTGGTCGATCGGAACTTGAATTAACGGAATTGAAACAGGTATGTTTTTCATAACCTCTTTATCTGATACCATAGTGATCGGATGATAATGGTACTGATGAAGTAGATAGATATCCTACTTCGCTTCATATATATTTATCAACTTAATTCACCTTAGAGTATAACAAGTAAAATATGAGAGTGCTTTTGAATATATATTTTTGAGACAATTATTATAGACAGATGATGAGAGATGCGTGTGTGTATATCCATCTACATTAGTTCTGTAAATCTGTCAATATAACTCAAGAAGTAAATGGATTTTGTAAACATTTTATCAATCAATTACAGTGATCGTACATTGAGAATACCAAGTGTTAGGCTTTTGGTGTGATGTAGTTACTAATATTTATCACATTGGACATTTCAAAGTAGGTGGAGAGTTGGTTCTAATTTGAGAACTATTGTTTGATTGTTGAATAATCAAACTAATAAACAGGGAATCTTTTTGATCTGTCGATGAAAATAAACAGATTTCCTTGTTTAGTTATTCGAGCCCGTGATATCGAACTATAAGAGAGGAGAGCAATTGTATTGATCTAGTCTGAGTGTTGACTGGCTCGTCTAAACTGTCTATCTAGTATCAATTACCTTTTTCTAATCAACGACACGTTAAATTTGAGATAGTTGCCTAGAGTAAAACTAAATATCTATTAGTACAGAATGCAGTTCCACAGACTCACTCACTCGGTAGCCAGAAAACACAACAAATCAATTTTCAACGATGCAATTCGAATTTTTGAATCATCCATACAGTATAATATAGAGCGAAATCCCGACCACCTATCAATAGATTTCAAAAATTACAATTTGGGCATAAATGGTGGAGCTCCGAAATAAATTAACAGTAATTTAGACAAGGTAAAACATACAACAATCATTGATGTATCAAACAGAAAATTACAAGTGGAGGAGTAGTACAAGTCTATTTATTTATTTAAACACATAAACATGAATACAAGAAGGCATCAGATAATATATGCACCATACTTCGTCATTCGATTTGTGTGAGGGCTGGAATACTTCTCGGCTGCTCAAACCGAAGCAGGTGGTTTACTCAGGGAGTCACTCCCCGAGGTTTAATCATCAAGGCAGTGGAGCGACTTTAGAAGATGCAGTCCAATGGTAGCCGGTGATCAACAATAGGTTTATACGCCATTTATTCCTTCATGATCCTAGAGCCTATGTGTACCATTGGTTTAGAATGGGGGTTTTCCAACTTTCCTCTTTAAATCCTCCTTATCCATTAACGCGGTTAAAGCACCGGAAATTTGCTTTTGTCCTGTAAACTTCCTAAAGAACACATGTGGTATGATAAGGTAGTGAGAATGACTTTCGTGTTTGTGACTGTATATGCGTGGTCATGTGAGATCATCTAGAGAGAGAAAGCGAACTCTCCCCTCAGTCGTACCAGGCCATTTGAGGGCTACTACTAAATACATTGCTTTAAATATTTAATAATAATAATTTCAAAGAAATTCGACAATCTCCACAACACCATACTGAAGACAAATATATAAACAGTAACTTCGAATGGGATCATTTGACAAAGTTCGCTTTTGCTTTATGTTTATCTCAACATAATAACAATTTGGATTGTATATCTATAAAAATAATGATTGGTTGCATGAATTATATTGACTTTTATTAGTCTGAATAAATATGATTGTTTAAGCCATTTTAGTATTAGAGATAGTTCCCCATTGAAACAATGTTCTCTTAGAGTGGAAGATTGAAAGGTGAGAAATCATTTCGTTTTTGTCTACAGGAAAATTGTTTTTAGACATTTAACCATAGAAGAAGACTAGTTTTAAAGAATCTTATGACAATTAAAAAGTGTTATTTATAAACTTCAGTCGCTGTTATAAGTAATTGTATATTCATGTTTGGAATAGTAATACAATGATGTATGCTACTTATATCGATATAAGTAGTTTGTAAATATTAATCAGAAGTGGCAGCAGAAGGTTGGGAAGATTGAATAGAATAGAACGGGAACAGCGAGTAATTTTTATGACAATGAAGGGATGATGAAGTTTGAGACAATTAATAAGTGATTTGAAAATGAAGTATTGAACGTATGGTCTTAACATTTGACGAAAGAACCCTGTAATTTTGTATTGAAATTCAGTTGGTTGTCCCCATATATGTTCTCGTTCATTAGAATACCAATGAAACAGAAATTGACATATCCAACAGAGATGTAAATTTTGCATATAGGTTCAAGACAGTTCTTCAAGATAATTTTCACCAATCACTTACTAGACCAATATCGTTTACTGATATTATCCATTTGTATTTCATTTTACTGTGTAACCACAGAATGAACATCTATGTAACAATATTTAGTTGTTTTTTATTCTGCCCATTTTCATTTTAGACAATCAATATGGAACGAAGTAAACTTCAAGCAATTCATTCCATAGAAAGAAAAAATTGTATAAAATCTATCAAGTCTCTTAACAAACGTAGTATTTTGACATTACAACGTCAATCTAGAATCAATACCATCCAAGTAAGAAATCAGCAGTCGATAAGATGCTTTTCTCGCCAATAAGATAATTAGTTACTTATTCTTTTAATAATATAGTAACAATTTGATTTGTATCATGTTTGTGTACTCAAGTTACAAGTTGAATTTTCATTAGTCTGCATTAGAAATTAAACATCCTTTGGAAGAATTTTCCTTCAAAATTAAACAAATCAGCTATCAAAAACCTAAAATTGTAGTAGCTTTCATCAAGCATAAAACAGAACTTCTTTTTTCGTTGTATACTTGATTGGAAACTTTAGAAATAGCCTAAATAGGTGTAACTCGTTAGTCAGTCAGTCAGTCAGTAACAACGTAGAACTTCGTACGTACATACATCAGTTCGAGTTGCCATACCACATTAGCACAGAGATGCAGTGGTCGATTCAAATCCCGTAGTAGTAGAGGTAGCAAGAGTATAAGCAGTAATCGGGAGGATTAGGGTTTGGAGATGTTATTTAACGAGTATAATCCAGTGAAATAAATTTGGAAAGAGGAAAAAAAGGGGCATGAAGAATTCAGATAATTAGAATTTGGGAGAACATAGAGAGTGGATGCACCTGCGCCATTGCAATCGATTTTGAGCCATGTCATTCAGGGTCTCTAACCATCGGTTGCTATCATCTCGCGGTCCCCAACCAGGTAGTCTACACCTACCAACATGACTCAGACCACTTGTCAGTGACTTCATGGATTTGTGCCATGTTTTGGTTTGGCCGCCCCTAGCTTTCTTCCAACCTACTCCTATACCACTGAATATAGCACGTCGAGGTAGTCGGTGGTTGGGCATACGTAACACGTGTCCCAGCCATCTCAACTGATGAAGTTTCACTACTTCATCAATTGATTTGCCATCCTTACCTAGTACCCGTTTCCTAACAGCTGCGTTACTTACTCGGTGGTCCCAGGATATACGAGCAATACTTCGAAGACACCTATGATCAAATACTAGTAACCTACGAATATCCTCTACTCTTACCGGCCATGTTTCACTACCATAAAGTAGGACGGAACGAACTGCTGCGCAGTAAACACGTCCTTTGGTTGGTAGACGGATATCTCGCCTACGCCATAAATGACGCAAGTTGGCAAAAGCTAGTCGAGCCTTCTGTATCCGTGCTGAGATTTCGTCACACACCAGACCACAAGGGCTGATGAGACTTCCAAGATAAGTGAAGCGGTCGACACACTCAACTGCTTCACTCCCTATCACTAGTTCGGGTGTCGATGTAACCCAATCCTGAAGCAACATTTTGCATTTCGAGGGAGAGAATCGCATCCCGAACATGCTTGCATTGTTGCTTAGAGTGGTCAGAAGACTCTGCATTTTGTCAGCGTCTTCACCAAATAAAACTATGTCATCAGCATATTCTAAGTCAACAAGTGAACCTCCCGGTAGAAGTTCAACCCCTGGAAATTTAGATGAGGAGAGTGTTATCTCTAAAAGTACGTCGACCACAAAGTTGAACAAGAATGGGGAGAGTGGACAGCCCTGACGAACACCACTTGATGTAATCAATTCTGATGACAGTTCGCCATAAGCTCTCACTCTGCCAGTCGTGTTCGAGTAGAGAGCCTTTATAAGGTTAATGTACTTCTTTGGTACTCCTTTCAGTGACAAACACTGCCATAGAACCTCACGGTCAACAGAGTCGAATGCCGCCTTAAGATCGAGAAATACTACCATTGTGGGGCGTCTGAATGTGTGTCTGTGTTCTAGAACCTGACGTAGTGTGAATATCTGATCTATACAACCACGTCCAGGTCGAAAACCGGCCTGGTTTTCTCTAGTTTGCTCTTCACGAGCTTTGATTAGGCGTCGAAGTATTATTGAAGCTAATATTTTAGACACTATATTAGTCAAACTGATTCCTCTGTGATTGTCACAAGAGCACTTTTGTCCTTTCTTATAAACTGGTACAATCAGTGATTGAGACCAGTCAGATGGGATTACGTCCAGTTCCCAAATTCTACCTAAGACCTCGGTTAATCTCATTGCTAATACTGGACCACCATCCTTAAAAATCTCAGGAGTAAACCTGTCAGGGCCTGCTGCTCTCCCTCGTTTCAGATTTCCTATGGCTTTTTCAACTTCATAAAGAGACGGAGGACTTACATTAACTTGCCATTCAGGTTGACTGGAGATCGTGGGAAACCGAAGTGTGGCTGAAGGCCAGTTGAACTGATCCCTAAAGTGTTCTGCCCATCGATCCAATCTCCTGGATTGAGAATGAATAATATGTCCATCTTTCTCTGCGATTGTTTCGCTAACAGTCGGGTTCCTAATTCCGGTTTCCTTAACGAGTCTGAACAATTGTTTGCTATTACCTATTGCCGTTGCCTTTCCCATCTCTCTTGCTTTCGCTACCCACCACTGTTCGCGATCATTGCGTAGACTTCTTGTCAGTTTGCGCTTAAGTTGACTCCGCTCTTCACTATGTTCAGAGCCAGGTGGAATGAGTTTCCGAGCATCTATCAGTGCGATAGATGCTGCTGAGATCCAGTGTTGCTCCCTAACCTTGTGGTTTACCTTACTAACAGATATCACTGCTGTTTCCACAGCTTTTCGGATATCATTCCATGCTGCCTCGGGGTGGGCATCACATACATGGCTGCCTAACTGTTTTCCTAGTTGTTCCTGAAATATACTCTTAGCTTGACTATCATTAAGTAGGCCCCTAAGAGGTTTCCTTGCAGCGTTTTTCCTACGTCCAGTAAGACGCAAGCAAATACGCGCTCGTACTAGAGCATGATCTGAATCTAGGCATGTGCTCCAGAATGAGCGACAGTCTTCTATCGAGCCCCTCCATCGGTGGCTGATAGCGATGTGATCTATTTGGGTCCAACGTTGGGACGAATTAGGGGGTCGCCATGTTAAAAGATGTTTTTCCTTATGCTTAAAGTTAGTATTTGCAAGGAACAGGCGGTTATCTAAGCATAGCTGCAACAGACGGTCGCCGTTATCTGTTCTTTGAGCCACGACACCATAAGATCCACCTAGGTGTCTTTCCCTATCGCTTAGTTTACCTACTTGAGCATTAAAGTCACCGGCCACTATTACTACGTCCGAGCGCTTAGCTTCTCGGAGAAGGTCCGAAAGCTTTCTGTAAAACTTATCTTTTACATCATCTGAGCTGCAGTCAGTGGGAGAATAGGCAGAGACGACGAAGAGGCAACGACGAGTGTCCCTATCTTTCCGGATTCTTACTGTTCCGTTCAGTCGGACAGCGCACAAACGACTGTCTACTGGGATCCACTCTAAGAGAGCTAGTTCTGCCCTAGGACTCAATGCTATACCTACGCCGGCGAGGCCACGGGAAGCAGAATCAGGGCTTCCAGATACACGAAGCGTAAATCGAGTCGGTTCTTTATTTTGGCATGGTGAGGTCAAATGAATGATGCTACTTGGATCCTGTATGCGCGTTTCGGAGACGCAACACACATCGATGGCGTAAGAGTCTAAAGTCCTAGCTAAGGAAGCCTGCTGTCCTATTTGGCACAGTGTTCGTACATTAAAAGCTCCTACGTGTAGTTTAGAGTGTGGTTTCAGGAGACCAGGAATAGCGTTCCACGTACTCGAATCGTTTGCCCTAGCGGTGCGAGGTGATAAAGAGACGTGAGGAGGGTTAGTCATGGAGATAAGAGAGGTATTAGGTGTAGGAAGGATTTGAATGTGACCAACTTGGTCTCGCGTGCTGTTACGGGTATGAGGGCTGATGTCACTTCCCGGCTGCCCACACCGTGGAAGGGTATTTCTTGAGGAACCTGAAAAGGAAATTGGATTAGTGTTGGTCTTGACGACCTGGGAGCGTGACCGCAGAGCCCAAGGGACAACTGCTTGAGGCCGGTCGCGCACGGCCTTTTTGTAGAAGGTTTTTGACGTGTTAGCTCCGTTCTTCAGATGGCCTTACCGCCGGAGACGGAAATCCGTGAGGTAAGGTGAGGTGTGACATTTTTAGGGTCGACCTTTTCTAACCCCACCCCTCCTTGTGGGAAGGCAGCATCGCTGTCATGCTGATTGTCCGAAGGAAACACCTTACTGCTGTCACACCTCTGTACAGTCAGCAGTACGACTTCGCCCTCAGACTTTGAGTTGCTGCTTTTAGTCTTACCGTTCACCAATCGACCTGCCTGGCATGGTAGAACCTACAGGAACATATGTTCCAGCCAATATAGCTCGGATGGGTCATCACGATAGGCAAGCCCGACCACCACGTCAAGGTAGCAGCTTCGGTCGGGGTGTAACTCGTTATGGCTTTTCTATACGTACATTGACCTTATTTGCCATCCCGATAAGTGACGTATTTTATTTATTTATTATTTGAACACATAGATATTGGTACAAGGAGGTACCAATTACATATGCGCCACACAAATCTCATTTGATTTGTGCCACGCCCGTAGTCTTCGACCTAAAAGTCTGATCCACAAGGCAGTGGAGCAACTTCAGGAGATGCAGTCCCGTAGTAGCCGGTGACCAATGATTGATTTATTTACCGTTTGTTCCATCAGGACCCTGGAGCCCATGTGCCTCATTGGTTTGGAATCAGGCTTTTTCAACTCCCCTGGCTGGATCCTCCATGTCCACCAACCCGGTTACAGCGCCGGACATTCGCTTTTCGTTCTCTCAATTTCGTAAACAACAGTAATACCGCGAGAAGATAGTGAGTAGGACTTCCCTGACAGAGGCTATTTGCGCGTGGCCATGTGAGAGCATTTGGAGAGAGGGAGAGCGGACTCTCCCCATTCTCGGGCCATCTGGGCTGCCAATAAATGACGTAGCTATTCAAATACACAAATGTTTTGACGGTTCAACCCAAAGGCACTCACAGACATAGGCTTCTGCTAGTCCTGTCCATACCTAACCTTCATCGCACCTAAGTTCTCTGGGTTCGATGTCCAGGCGATTCAAGGACAAATGTTTTTAAAATTCAGTTGTTTTCTTTGTAATACAAACTTTACTATAGGTGAAATTGATTCCATGTATAATTACTATAATTTATCAGTTTCTTATGAGTTTACTGGTTGTTATGACTTTTGCCCTGTTAGTTATTATGTGACTTAATAGCCAATTAGAACACCGACCTATACGACCTTGGCGCTGTGCCAAACCAATGATGCATTAACCAGTACCAGCAACTTAGTCAACTCCGAGTCCCTTATTGGTTCTTCTCGCCCAACCCAGTCCATTTTAGTCGAGAACAGAATCCCAGCATCCACTGTAGTAATAATGTATTTCAGACATAGAGACCTCAATACGCCATAAAATAAAAATAATTATACAAGTTCAAGCCAAAAAGTGGTTGTGATTGTGAGAGACTGTAAATAATAGATTTTGAATAACTTAAGAATAGTAAATCGTACAATTCTAGCCCATAGATCAAATGGAAGCTTATAGCAAAAGGATTACGAATATACATATGATTTAGTTCATTAACAGTTATACCATTAGAATGTATTTACAATAAGTCTATAAATAGTTCCCGGAGGTTACCCATAATTTGATCTTCTTCCGATACAACAGTTGTTGCTTCTCTTCCTAATTGTGTAAAATATAAAGTCATCACCTTATTCATGTTGATTTACTTAATCCTACCCCTGTTGCCGCTGTCTCAGTTTCAGTAAAGATGATTACGATTAAGATTTTCAATCGAGCATTGCGATAGTTGCTATTTATGAACGACTTCTGTAACATATTCGTTAGAACAGTAACTAATACACAATATCGCTCCAACACTAAAAATGTACACATTAATGAGAGAGAAGATGGTGATTTCAGAATAGCTTTATATTCCGAACAAAAGTTAAACATCGAAATGGATTGACTCTGTTTATACAATAACATGAAACAATTTCGGTGCACATGACTATGTTAGCAAACTAAGATTGTTAACAACCAATTAGATGGCAACAAAGTTCATAACGGAAATATGAACCATAATAAAAGGACGAGTATACTGCGCGGCAGTCCGCTCTGTTTTAATTTACGGCAGCGAAACATGGCCATTAAGAGTAGAAGACACTCGTAAGCTACTAGTATTTGACCACAGATGCCTTAGAAATATTGCTGGCGTCTGCTGGGATAACCGGGTAAGTAATAGTGAGGTTAGACGCAGGGTATTAGGAAAGGATGGTAAATCAGTTGATGAGGTTATGAATCTTCATCGACTGAGATGGTTGGGCCACGTGTTACGTATGCCTGAACACCGATTACCACGACGTGCAATGCTATCCGGTATTGGAAATGGTTGGAAGAAAGTTAGGGGCGGCCAAACCAAAACGTGGCATCAGTGCTTGAAGTCACTAACTTCTAGTCTGAGCCATGTTGGTAGATGCACACTACTTGGTTGGGGTCCGCGTGACTATCGTAACCAATGGTTGGAGACTCTTGGTGACATGGCTCAGAATCGATCACAATGGCGTCGGTGTATACACTCCTTGTCTTTCCTTAAACTAAGAGATTAAAATTGCTTCATATCTTTCTTTCTACGAACCAATTCTTTCTGCTTGTACTATATCTCTATATGCAATCTTTCTCATATATTACCACCTTTCACCTAACCACTGTTATGAATCCGGTGTTCATCTTGTTGTGTTGATGCGGTATGGCAACCTGGACCGATGCACATATGTGCCTGGTCCTACGTTGTAGCTGACTGACTGACTGACTGATCTTCTAAAGAAAGAACTAACATACTATGACGAAGAATAGAGAATCTGAGCTCTTATTAACACTATTATACTCTATATTACTGTTATGTCCCGATAAGTATAATGTCAGTCAGTAACAACGTAGAACTTCGTACTACGTACATCAGTTCGAGTTGCCACACCACATTAGCACAGAGATAGAGTGGTCGATTCAAATCCCGTAGTGGTAGAGGTAGCAAGAGTGTAAGCAGTGATCGGGAAGATTAGGGTTTGAAGATGTTATTTAAAGAGTATAATTCAGTGAAATAAATTTGGAAAGAGAAAAAAGAAAGGGACATGAAGAATTCAGAAGGTTAGAATTTGGGAGAACACAAAGAGTGGATGCACCTGCGCCATTGCAAACGATTTTGAGCCATGTCATTCAGGGTCTCTAACCATCGGTTGCTATCATCTCGCGGTCCCCAACCAGGTAGTCTACACCTACCAACATGACTCAGACCACTTGTCAGTGACTTCATGGACTTGTGCCATGTTTTGGTCTGGCCGCCCCTAGTATAATGAATGGTAATTTTTGGGATTCATTTATGGACCAATACTATGCGTATATTTTTATCGTATAATTGTTAAATAACTGAACTATTCATATTCATGTTCCTCTTATCATTAATTTTATTTTGACCTATGAACTATTATTATATCATTTACCATTGTTGAATTATGCTCTGTCTATTAATTGCTACCTCCCCCATTCACAGCCACATTTGGCTAAATGTTGTTTCCTACTTTATGGTGCGATGCGGTCTGTCTGGTTGGTACATAAACCTAGTATGTTTGGAATACATAATTCATATTGCAGAGGCTGAGATTGGTGTTTTGAACTTAACTGGCTGCATGGGCTAGGCAGGAAGCAGGACCGATAAGTACTCTAGACTGCTCGCATGGGTTTCATGCGTCATTTGTCCGATCGATAATTCACTTCTCTCTAATTGGCGATATCATTACGTTGTACATTAATAGGTCACACAGGCCACAAGTTATAACAATTACTTACTTTGTTATCATCTTCTTGTAAGTAATAGAATGATTTTGGTATGTAATCTTTTATTTTACTTTATAATATAATATAAGTTGAATGAAGCTCAAAAGCGTATGAATGAAGAATTAGAATTGTTAGAATTGAAACATAAAACTCAAACGGATGAATTAGAACAGAGTATACATTTTCGATTACAAGAATTAGAACAAAGTACCATGGAGAAACGTAATGCTTTAATTGATCAAGAGACTAAACGTTTACAAGAATTAGATAATCGACATCAAAATGAAATGCGTATCTATGCAGAATCTTTACCTCGAATAAAAGCTGTAAGTTAAAGTAATTTATTTTTATTTCCTTTTATGATTAATTTGTGTCTATTTGCAATATGAAGAAAATATATAATTTGGCTTGATTTTTTTAAAGTTTAAAACCCCGTCCATCTACTGTTGTTATTTGGGCATCTGGATACGTGCTCAAGTTTGGGTATATAAATTTGTTTCCGGTAAATGTAATTTATGTCAGGTTGTATTCTAAAATATTTAACCACAGTCTAGTAATGCATGCTTAATCCTAAGTATATGTTTGTTGAGTTTTGATTAAGATCGTGGTTGTTGCTATGTATATTTTTTGTATTATCAGTTAGTTTCACTGGACGATGATCGACAGATTTTAATCAAAACTCAACAATCTTCACAACCCTATAATGATAATTATCATATCCTCATTAGTGACTGACTTCAAGAGGTAATTCTCGAAGATCTAATGAAAAGCTATGAGCAATGGAGTTAATTTGTCTCAACGTTTTCAGTCAGTCAGTCAGCTGCAACGTAGGACCGGGCATATATTTGCATCGGTCCAAATTGCCTTACCTCATTAGCACAACAAGATGAACACCGAATTCATCGAAGTAGGTAATTCAATGGTGGTAATATATAAAAGAAAGATTGTATATAAAGACAGGAAGAAAGATATGAAGTAATTTTCATCTCATAGTTTAAGGGAAGACAGAGAGTGTATACATCTACACCATTGTGATCGATTCTGAACCATGTCACCCAGAGTTTCCAATGATTGGTTACGATAGTGACACGGGCCCGAACCAAGTAGTTTGTATCTACCAACATGACTAAGACCAGAAGTTAGTGATAAGCGCCCTCATACTTCCTACAGCACTCAAGATCACTCATCAATCTTACAAAATTAGTGGTAAACTCTCTAATTATCTAATCAAAACATGATACGATTTGTCGTTTCCTAGATATGTATGAAAAGTTTTTTTTTATTAAATCCTAACCGAACAAATTATCTTCCTCCATTTATACGAAATTCTCAAACCATTCCAACATAGATTAAATACCAGTAAGGTTCATCATTTTGTGGAAGTATTCTGTATAAATATTCGCTGAATTAATTAACAAGGTAACCGCTGTTTCGTCCTATTATAGGACTCCTCAGTAGTGCTTATCCACGATCCTGCCTCATGAGATTCGGAACCAGAACTTATCGATCTCGTATGCAAACGCTTAACTTCTAGACCACTAAATCATTTAACAAAATAAACACCCGATAGATATATGTATTGAAATTTCTTATCTCATTTTAAATGATTTTTCATTTTATTCAATGAATTATAGTTAATGAAAGAACAATTTGCTCAAGAATATAAAGAAGATTCTTTTAAAATAAATTATAATAATTATCGATCATATAGTCCAAAATCTCATCGGCATAGATTACCAATTCCAATATCAAGTTTAACAAATCTACGTTGGGGTTCACTCTCTTATTCAAATACAAAATTAAATAATATATTAGAATCTCGACCTAATCGATTGATTACATTATTCTCTTCAGATTTAAATCATAATAAAATAAATTCATCGGATTCCATGTGAATTGTTTTATAATCATTTTAAAGTTAAACTCATTTAATGAATATCTTATTCTCTTCTTTCTTTTAATCCTTTGGTTGTGATTATTATTATTACTTCACAAATTATATATAGATAGATATAGATATTAATGTACACCCATATGACTTTATCATCCTATGCTTAATTTATATGTTACCTTATTCCACATTATGAAATCTTCTACCAATTTGATCTTAACAGAGAGAGAAAAAAATGATCCTACTTTTAAATGATTCAATTACTATAGACACTATTATTATTACTTGTAAAAAAAACAAAACAAAACAAGCATCAATTTCACGCTCAGAGTACGTCTACATGTACATTTGTGTGTGTGTGTGTGCTTGTACATGTACAATTCAATCTCTTTCGTATATACATATTTCCAATGATTAAATTGTCTTCCATTGATAATGATTATTATTTTGTTAAGAACAGTATTATTTTGTTTTTGTAATTTTAGACTGTTTCTTTTAAAGTGAAATTGTTATTACATTTATAAATGAATAAAAAAAAAAGAATTTTTTTTTAATAATGAAAAGTATTGTAACTTTAAGTTTGTCCACTTGGTATTGTTTTAGCTTGTATCTTCCCATTGAGGTTTATAACTGTAATTGATCAGTAGAGCTGAGTGGATAACGTGATGGTGTTTGAAGCGAATGGTACCGGGGTTCGAGTCCCAGAGTGAACATCAACTCTTTGAGATGCAGGTACATCCAACTGTGACGAGTACCAATTAGGATGAAACGCGCGTCAAACTGAATTCTACTGCTAGCCACTATCCATCATTGCTTTAAGTTTGTCCGTTCATTTTGCTATCATGTAATTTGATTCATCAATCGAAATACGACTTATTATTCACTCTTGTTCTGTATACTAAACCAATGATGTTCAACCGGTCTTTTGTTCGTCTAACCCCATTCACATCTAAGTCCAAAGGACACCAATACCAGCTTACACTATACAAATCATTTATTTCAAACATACTAGGTTTATATTACCAGTCAAACAGGCCATATCACACCATGTAATAGAATGGGACTCCAGCAGTGCATATCTACGATTTTCGGTCTCCCTCACAAATCGCTAGCTTTTAAAGGAAATTCCCGAGGTTTTAATGAGAAGCTGAAACCAGCGGAGTTCAAACGTGTCGGAAATGGTCGCGCAGTATTGTGGACTGGTCGGAGTTATATATTAACACCGATAGACGTCAGCTCAGTGGTGTAGATATTAAGCGTTCACATGCGAGATCGAAGGTACTGGGTTCGACTCCCGAGTGGTGGTCATGGATGTGTACCATTAAGAAGTCCTGTAGTAGGACGAAACGACTGTCCTGTGTTTTCAGTGATGGTCTAACATTTATCGATTGACAATTTCAATGAAAATATGTTTGTTGAAAACTGGATATTGAAAGGGTTTTAATTTTGTGTCTGTGTGCTTTAATCTGCACAAATAAAGTTCATGTCTATTGGCCACTTTTAGAAAAGCGAAATTAGCAAAAAGTAAGCGGGAGACTGGATGTGAGAATTAGTGCTTTATTGAGTTTCTTATAATTTAGTTTTTATTTTGTTGTTGAGCAATGAGTCCAGAATGCCATTTTTCCAATATGATCGCTTTAATTAGTTCGATCCCAACATAAGGAGTGATCACTTTAACAACACAGGATATTGATTCTCGTTACAAATTCGTTTCATGAACACCCAATGTCTTATTCAGATTATTGTCTAGCTGTCTTGATACTATGCTTCAGAGTTAAATCATTTCTTTTAAGAACAATTTAATCAAAAAAGACTTGGTAGATTGGATAAACGTTTTGAAACAATATTAGTTCACAATCCATGTGTTTTATAGGTTAAAGAATCCTTTCAAATTTGTTCCTCGTTTTCGTGCTTATTGCAATGACTATTACATGATTTTCACAGATTTATGTATTAAGATGTATACATAACTGAACATCGAATTATGCGAATACACTTATTCAACCATTTCACATATCTCTTTTGAAATGAACGTACATCTACTATCATCAAAGTTGACGTGTGAACAATACATATATATACGTCCATATGTATTACAGACCGTTTGAGACTGAAAGCATAAAAAGCAGTTCCACAAAGTATGTGTTATTACTTCAGGTTGATACCTATTCAAACGAGAACTGTTAGCACGATATACCTTTTTGATTCGATCTGTTACTTTGTAGATATGAAATAGCCTTGCAAGACACATTTATGTAAGTTGCTAGTATTTATTCATAAGTGTTTTCAAAGTACTGTTCATATGTAATTATTATTGCATTTGTGAATAAATGACAAACAAGTAATTATAGTACGGAACCAGTTGTCTATATGATTGAAAAATATACTGACCAGATCAAAACATATGATAGTTTACATTCATTAAGTCACTGACTCACTTTGGAATATGAGAAGGTGCTAACTGTAATCTGCAGGCTGATTATAATTTCTGAGCACAGATATTTATTATTTATTTATTTTAACACATAGATATTGGTACATACATATGCGCCACACAAATCTTATTCGATATGTGTGTGGGTTGTGATACTACTCGAGTGTCCAGACCGAAACAGGTAGTTTTACTAGGGGGCCACACCCGGAGCCTTCGACCTGAAGGTCTAACCCACAAGGCAGTGGAGCAACGTCAGGAGATGCAGTCTCATGGTAGCTGGTTACCAACGTTCGGTTCGTACGCCGTTTGTTCCATCAGGATCCTGGAGCCCATGTGCACCAGTGGTTTGGAATTAGGGTCTTGTAACTCCCCTAGATGGACTCTCCATGTCCACATGAGATAGTTCAAAGATAACGCCAGTAGAACAGATATATTTAACTTTTATTTTCCTCCCTAAATTTTGAACTTATTATTATTATCATGAATTATTCATTCTCCGATCACATTTTCAAATTCACTATGTTTATATAGTTCCCATTATTATTGATATTAATATTTTCGGTTTCTCCTTTGCCATACATAATAATTACTTCATTCACCAGATATTAGGTAATGACCAACACTGTAACTATAAAAGGTAACAATTATTATTCGGCTGATCAAATTGAAATAGATGAAGCTGGATTTGAACCTGTGATTTAATGGTTAACAACAACAACAACAACAAAAACAGTCGAACACCCTAACTACTAAAAGTTACCCCTTCAATTTCATCTACTAAATATCTAATTGTTTGATATTCAAAAAAATGTATATTTCAATTGTTAAAAACAAAAGTCAATATTTTATCAAAAGAAATGATACAATTTTCATTTTTATACAATAATGATAATAATCATTATATTGTCACATTGAATGTACAAAAAGCTATTTGAGTGATTTTCGTGGTCGTTTAATATCTACAAGAAAAGAATTAAAAATAATACAGGTTATTTCTCTTTTTTTTTCTTAAATATTGATTGATTAAAGCATATTTTGCGTTATGTCCTGGTATGGCCGAGAATAGGGTGGATCCACCCTCCCTCTCGAAATGCTCTCACACGGCCACGAGTATACAGCCTCTACCAGAGAAGTCCTACTCACTGTCTTCTCGTGGCGGGGGTATTGTTTACGAGATTGAGAGGATGAAAAGCGAATGTCCGGCGCTTTAATCGGGTTGGTGGACACGGAGGATTCATCTAGGGGAGTTGGAAAAGCCTGATTACAAACCAATGGTGCACATGGGCTCCAGTATCCTGAAGGAACAAATGGCGTATAAACCAATCTTTGGCCACCGGCTACCATGGGACTGCATCTCCTGAAGTTGTTCCACTGCCTTGCACATCAGACCTTTAGGTCAAAGGCTCCGGGTGTGGCCCCCTAAGAAACCCACCTGTTTCGGTTTGGGCACCCAGGCAGTATCCCAGCCTTCACACAAATCGAATGATTTATGTGACGCATCTATATTTGGTGCCTCCATGTACCAATGTTTATATGTCTAAATAAATAAATAAACTTAATCAAGGATTCTAAACAACAACGAAATTAAACTATTTGATGTCTCAGAGTTTCATAATAGTTTGTGAAAATGTTTCAAACAATCGCTTAAGTGAATCAACAAACTTACCTTGTGATTTTGCAACAGCAAGTCGTTTATTATTGATTGCTTGAGTTGATTTATTACGAGTTAACCAGAGAGTTTTATTACACTTATATAGTTCTAAGGATAACTTCCTATAAATAAAATGTCCATATTTATGTGAATGAAGGTGGTTAGTAGCATTAGTTAATTGTTCTGCCATTAATTCTTTATAAATTATCGGTTGAGGTAAGGTATTTGTAGCCGTCCATAATGCTTCAACCACATGACTACCGCTAGGATTGCATGCCAAAACAGAGAAGCCGTTCTATATATGTTGGAAAGAAAACCATGTACTCAAATTAAAGAAATAGGTAATTATAAAAACAGTCTTCATTATCAAAATAGATGAGAAAAAATACGTCCGAAATAAAATGAAAGTAGTGAAGTGTTTGTGGTTACTCAATGACCAACACTTTTATGCTTGGGTAAACATTTGTTACGTAATAGTAAGTTGGCCACTTTATTTAAATACATAAACATATGGAAGGTATTATAGACTTTGGATTAACATGGCTTGAAGTTGGTTAGTGGAGTGAATGCATCCTATTTATGTCTTCCCGTAGATCTTGACATTCAGTCAGTCAGCTACAACGTAGGACCAGGCACATATATGCATCGGTCCAGGTTGCCATACCTCGTTAGCACAGCAAGATGAACACCGGATTCATAGACATTCAGTACGGAAACCTTTGTCATAATAAATTTTCTTTACAATATATTTTTTCCGAAATAACCGCGGCTAGGAGAAATGTAGCTCAAAATTGACTAAATCAACATATACTCATTATTCAGTTGTATTCGATCATAATTAGAAGCAACATAAAATATACGTCCTGAACATCACCACTAGATACTTCCAGCTATATCCGAATGAAATTTGTTAGCATAAGAAATTTATAAGTTAAAACATAGTTATTATATGAGAAGAACAAGATATAATGGTGAGACTATAATTTATGGACGACATTTAAGCAACGCTAAACTGACCTTGAGAGTGTCCACCTAATAACTAGGACCGAATGAGGGTTATAAACTAGTGTGAGGAATTAGAGTTATGATTTACAATTAATGATTAAGGTTAGGAATCAAGAACTAACATCAGCTATAACACCAAAACGCTATTTGACCAAATGGATGAATGAAATTCAAGCCAAAGATCTAAGATCTGTTATCTTATACCTCCGATTGCTTTGTTCATAAATTATAGTCTCACCTACAATATAATTGTTTTTTCAAAGTAAAATAATATCAACTAACCATTAGAGACTTCAATAATGTAATTTTAAGTTCACTAATTACAGATTCTGATAAAATTAGCGCTTCTAAAACTCTTGATAATTGATAATGTTGTGCCCATGCAATTAAACGTTTAGGGGATTGACTTAATAAACTGTTAATCACTTTAATAGGATGAGCATAAGTGAAATTAAATAAACT